CATTGACATTTTCACCCCTCGAAAACCATTGTCAGCCGAGGCGCAGCCGAGGTTGACAATGGTTTTATTGGGGTGAAAATTTTCAATGTTACACTCAACTACATGTAATATTTATTATATCATACTGAATAATTTATACAAATACATATAACTGTGTACTGTGCGCTCATAAATTCTTTTTTGGAATATCACCCGTCGTCAAGCATTGTTGACTGTTGCTACGCTGGAGGGTGTGGCTTCATTATTCAGCGGGAAATAGTGTTTTCTTAACAAATATTTCTCGACCAATCAGGTTCAACTAATTTACATGAAAGTATAATATATCAAATTAGCAAAGATTAACAACTTAGACAGTGAATTATAATACACGTATATACATAATGTCACATTATAATAATGATAATCATAATAAAATAGTAATAATAAACAGATATATTTATATGACATAAAAAGTAATATAATGTCTCATGAGTAAGATATAACATTGTATAATTATATACGTGTGCAAAAGATATGCATAATTCAGAGTAATAAAGTTCTGCTGTTGAAGATATGCTTTCTATATTTCGTTTTAAGATTGGCAGAAGTGGCACATATCTTATATCTATAGGTAATGTGAATAAATTTGTTCGGTGTTTTGGTAGGCGAAGGTCAAAATTAGATTATGAACGTAAAGTATAAGCATTAGATGTTTGACAAATAAATAAATCTTGCAAGTAAGCCGGTCTCTGATTGTTAAATATCTTGTACAAAAAATGCATTTAATGTTACTAAGTCAAAAACAGATAGCCACCCTAATTTTCAAATAACGCCTTAGATGGAGCATCAGGGGCAGCATCAAACATAATTCTAGCGGCCCGTTTTTGGAGCTTATGTATTCTCTCCGTGTAACTATGTGGTGCATTACCCCAGATAGTCAGACAATAATTAATAGAAGGCAGGATAAAGGCATTGTAATGATGTTTTCTGGTTTTCAAAGGAAGAAATTTCTTGATTTTCCGCAAAGTAAACAATTTATATTTTAACGATTTGCAGACTACATGATCATGAAAATTCAGTGTTTGATCTATATGTACCCCAAGTAGTTTTCTGTTTTAACATTGTTAAGCTGTTTATCTGAGACATGTAAACTGAGATTTTGATTATCTAATTTTGATTTCTTTTGTTTAGTACCCATCAGCATACATTTTGTTTTATCAACATTTAGAGCCATTTGATTTTCTAAACAATTTTCAATATTTACTAAATCAGAATTTAGAGCTGTTTCAATGCTAAATATATTATTCTCATAAACATGTAGAGTTGCATCATCAGCAAACATATCGATATTTGCATGACTTATATATAAGGGAAGGTCATTAATATACCTGCTGTGACAGGTAAGACATTAGAAGAAGTTATACTAATTTTTACACATTGTGTCCTGTTATACAGATACGATTGAAACCATTTAATTGACAATTCATCAAAGTTGTAATTCTTTAATTTTTCTATCAAAATTTCATGACTCACCAAATCAAACGCTTTGCTAAAATCCAAAAATGTTATATCTATTAGACTACCCTCGTCCATAGCATGCAACCAACATGACCAAGCATCTGTTAATTTGGTTAGTGCTGTTTGACAAGAGTGAAATTCTCTGAACCCAGATTGAGATTTTGTTATAAGATCAAAAGTGGAGGTAAAATCTCGTATTTGGTTTGCGGTGTCCTTTTCAATTATTTTGGATAATGTTGGAAGTATTGAAATGGGACGGTAGTTACTGGGGTCTATTTTGTTCCCTTTTTATATACAGGGGTGACTTTTGTTTGTTTCAACTTTGCTGGAATACTACCATTGCTGATACTAGCGTTTATTAAATGAGTTACTGAATGATTTACTAATTATACTAGCTGATAGTTTTAAGAGACGAGGTCCAGTGAAGTCAATGTCTGCAGATTTATTATTATACCTCTATTGATAATACTCGAAGTTGATTGGCTGGGAAGAATACTTTAAAACACAAAAATTACTCCAAATGGTACTGTTTACAGAAATAATGACCTAGGAATCATTGCAAGTGAAAATAATGACCCGGTCATTATAATTAATGACCGCTACATAATGACCTCTTAACCAAAAATTCCTTTTTGAATGAAGTTAATGCATAAAATAATAATTATTTGAGAAAACATGTTTTTAAAATTGTGCATGGTCTGTTTTGCATTACCGTACAGAATAAGATAAAATTTTATCGTTAACTTAAATATGTTAAACGGTTTACTCATTTCAAAATATCGTTACAATTCAGTTCAATGGAGTCATGTAGAGGCGATTCTTTAAAGAGCTGAATTCTGTGTTAGATTTTGACTGTGTAGAGGGAAAGTAATCGTTAGTTATAACAATGTATGTCGCTATCAAGTTGACAACCAACTATTGTTTTAATCAGTAAATTTGATGCAAAAAACTTACACGACTTGCAGACGTCAATGTAAACAACTTCCCTATACATACGGAGTGTAGGGAATCCCGATCCCGATCAAAGAAAGAATGATGACGGTTAGAGATTCATACTTTTCAATACACTCCAGTATATCGGTATAATAAAACAATTGATTACCCCTTGTGAGTTCAAGATGGTGAAATAAGGACTCTCGACCTGGCCCACTCGATGACCTGCCCTGACCTCGGCCGCTACGCGGCCTCGGTCAGGTCAGGTCACCTCATGGGCCAGGTCTCGGATCCTTATTTCACCATGTTGACCTCAAAAGGGGTAATTAATTGTATAATATAATCCCACCTCTGACATTTCGGAGGTCCGTGTTTGTTCTGCACCTCTTTTGTTTAATGGACTTTTGAGCTCGAATACTGTTTGCTATTTTATTATACATTTCCTTAAATATACAGTAAGTACGTTGAATACCTAGGTGCAGATAAGATTTTCAAGGAATTTTACATCTTCATTCTATAATCAATAGATCCCCGCCCTAATACCAGAACCACTGACCCTGGCTCCAGTTTTGAAATAAATCCTGAGCTGGAAAACACAAACTTATGATCCAGCGTTCACGAAATCCATTTTCTTCTTTTGATAATTGCAATTCAAACGTACCTCTCCGATTTGAATAAATACAGTGGCTTTTCACGACAACGCTCGAGTCGTGAACAGACGACATTTTGGATAAACCTATGCAAGTTAAAAGGCGGAGCGAGATTGGTAAGAGATGTTCTAGAAAAGCACTCTTGACCAATCACACCCGCGTTAAATCTTGGATGCAATGTTTAGTGAATTCAGGGGACGACTTAAACTACAAGACTTGCATGACAGGGTATTGGATTTGCAAAACACGACCTACACGATTCATAAATGACTGTGACGATATTTTTTATTAAAGAGTATTTATTACTGAATGATTCCAGGCATTATTCCACTAGCTGCAAGATATTTTATTGAAAACACGAAACATTACCGAGATCGTCCCTGTGTAAATTCAGACTGACGTTGGTTCCCTTTCTTTTTGTTTATAATTATAGTGATTACCTAAAATCCGATATAGCATGTTACCAGCCCCTTTGGATAGGGTGGTATTTGTGGACAATCTGTTGTCTGTATATACTGTTAAAGAATCTCAAAAGCATAAAAATCTGACACAGGCTATACAAACAGAAGCTATTAACATTGATGTGGATCGACCTTGAAGTGGTATTAAACTTAAAGGTTTGGCAGAAGTTCTAAAGAAATTTTGCAGTGCAGTTTCAGTCAATCAGGCTGTAAATGATAATCCTAGACCTATATTGAATGGAGGAATTTACACCAAAGACTACGCTGCTAACCACACGCTTACACTTATATTGTGGAGTAGAAACTCGGTTTAAAAGAATATCCATGGATCTGTGTATCAGCAAAATCATTTTGTCCCCTTTCAACCGCAAAATTCATCAAACGAAAATAGTTTGAGATCTAAGACTGGGAAAAGAAGCAGTTGTCGTTTTTCGTAGTTAAGATGATCTTTAGAAAAATCACCGGAGCTTCAAAATGAATTTCTTTTGATAATGGCTTGTGAATTCTACGCCAGCAGGTTTGTTGGACACAGATGACGGAATGGTGTTCAACTGCGGCTGATGACACCGTTGATAATTCTAACAAAGAGCAACTTAAATTTAGCCTTATGTGGATTAACGATAATTTTGAGCCTAATGAAACCTTTCTTGGATTATACGATATTGAGGATACATAGGTATCAACCATCTTCATTGACACTTGCCAGTAAGGACTTTGGAAATTTAACTTGTAGTTTGGTCATTTATGATGTCAGTGTTAAGACATGGCAACATATATGGTTGGATTTAAGTCTGGTGTGGCCTCTCGAATCAGTTCGATAGAAAAGCGAGCAGTTTCTATGCACTGCTGTGGCCATATTCTAAATCTTGCTTGCGGTGATGCAATTAAATGTTGGCGCATGAACTTGGGACAGTTGGAAAGCGGTGAACATTGAGATGTCATCTGCCTTAATGATATCTAGTTTGCAAGGTCATTTGGCACATTTTCCGTGGCCCACCAAGTGGCAGGATTCAGACATGACATAAGATATAACCGGATTATTATAACGCCCTGTAGATCTCCTTTCAATGGATAACAGCATGTATTTTAAAGCAAAGCATTTTTGTTGTTGCAATTATTCAATCGCTGTAATACAAGCTGTTAATAAAGTAAGTGTACCGAAAGATTGGACAAATTTTGGCATAAGCACAGTAAAGCATTACTAAGTAAACGACTGTTAATACCAAGTAGGACTTGCATGTTTTTTTCCTTTATGAGAATGAAAAGCATCAACAAAAATCTTTGACACATATTTTTTGCAGTTATATTTGATTGCTTGTGACTCATAACATGTACGGTGTATTAAATAAGCTAAAACCATTTTTATTTTAAACAAATTTATTGTACAATTCTCAATAAATCTCCAATAAAATATTAACAATTATGCAATATATGTACAACTGTGTGATATGATGGTAAAATGTTAGGTAATGATATGATTTGTTCAGATGATTATCTCCTACCAAGAATAGCAGAAAATAAATAACGAGCGGGAATAAGCACGTGATCTATAATGTGTACTACTCCGTTGGTGGCGCTTATATCGGCTTTTGTTACGTGGGCATTGCGATTAACTGTGACGCTGCCAGAACCTGGAAGTAAAACAAATTCAATTATTTTAGATACAACCATTATTTCTTGAGATGAAATAAATCTGTAAAGGCTATCAGTCCAGTTATTGAGAATAAAACTTACTGCTGACTCCAAGTCTGATGACGTCATGGTGAGTATCAAGAGTTCTAACATATTCGCGGTTGTAAAGACCAGCTGAGTATTCAGTATGTGGAACAACATGGTATTCCAGAATTTCTGAAAGATTAAAACAAATATCAGAAATGTACGACATGATTTTAAGGGAAGACTAAATCACATCTGTTGAAATGGCATACTTTTTTAATTGTCGCATCTACGTACCTTTTAAAAGCGTTGGGTTTCTTCTCAGATTGTCCAAAACATGACTACCAAGTCTGGCAAATGCTGCATTTGTTGGTGCAAATACTGTTAGTCCATCGCCTGAAAGGTTAAAGAAATAGATACATGTATTATATGAACATTCAAAATCAAACTTTCCTAATTTCACACCTTAAAGAAGCAATGCATATAAATATGTGCTGCAAAATACCTTGCAGAGCTCCGGCCAAACCAGCTGACTGGACCTTTGACAGAAGAGTACTGAGGTCACTGTTTCCTGCCACGAGATCCACAATACTTCCTTCAGGGGGCATCATCACGGTGTCGATTACGTGGACCATTCCGTTTGATGCGGTCAGATCAAAGTGGGTGATTTTGGATCCTTCCACTGTCACAACCTTTCATTAAAAGATTTAAAAAATATATTTCTTCTCTTTGGTATATTGTTACAATATTTTCACTGTTTAAGATGGTGAACCATTCAAAATAAGGTTAATGGTACATTTTATTTAATTGATACTCAAAAATGGAGAGATTCTATGGTAAAACAATTCCAGAATGTAGTCTTGCATACTTTTATTGAGTTAAATCTGAAACGTTTTTTTTTATTTTCAACAAAAATAATCAATAAAAAGAGAACACCTACATGGTTATGACTGTAGATGTTGAATCTGATTTTGGTTCCCGCCAAAGTCTCCAACTGAAGTTCATTAGAGGCATCAGCTTTGTGGATGGACCCCTTGACCACGTGATATTTCAGGATGTTGGCCAGAGCTGTTGTGTCCTTTGAGAGACTGTCAAGGGTAGCTTGGGGAAGTTTGGCAAAAGCAGCATTTGTTGGAGCAAAAATAGTGAATTCCCCTGAAAAGAACATATTTGTTCAAAAGATATCACCAGATCATCTTTGAGAGAAAATGTTTCTACATCTACAAATGACATGACCAGGGAGGAAATACTGAAAATTGACGATGTTTCTGAATTATCCTGGTATAAACATTATTTATATTTAATCCCCAATCATTTTAGGCAGAGGTAAAAGAGAGTGGTTGAGATTCTTATATTCCCTAAATATTTGTAACCATGAAGCATACGATTGAAATTGATATAATACAGTATTCATGAATCATTTAATTAAATAATTTTTGCTTACCTCCTAACAAAGCATCAGCTAATCCTGCTTGCTGTACAAGAGCAATAAGAGTTGTCTCCCCGTCGTTCTGGAGAACTTCTACAAGGTTTCCAGCGAAAGCACTCTGTACAATCACAGCCAATGTTAGGAAGGCAATCATTTTGAGATTTTACTAGTTCTGAAGTTGAGATCGAACTGTATAATTCACAAAATGTCCGAACTTTTATAGTATCCATCCTTTATGTAAAACAAAGAGGTATTTTATGTAAGGGACACAGCATCAGTTTCGAAAATGTGAGTCAAATGTTTTGTAATGTCCTTATGGAATTTCTGGGCACCAAAAGGGGAGCATTGTAAGAAAGATACTACTGTAACATTGTCTTCTATTCTTTCCCTTGTAATTTTGATCGACAATCTGGAGATTAGCAACTGGTGGGTTTTTTGCCATGGACAATAGCTTAAAACAAATAAATATAACTAAGAATAAAAGGAACATTGTTTTGGGGGCCTCAACACGTTTTCCACGTTTCTTAAGGAATTCTTCCGTTGACCAGACTAAGCCACGGACAGTACGTGTTATCATGTGTACGGTTGTGAAGGCTTTTATCAAATTGAAGACTGTTACATGTGACACACTTCATGACTTTATTGTACTTAAGACGCTTTCAGATGTTTTCAATGGTGTTATGTCGGTTCTGAAATTTACACCTGCTTCTCTCCCCCTTTACACTCCTAAAGAATATTTTTCGACAATATTAATATTTCTGTTACTAAGTAACTTATTACGATTGCTATCTTTAAATGGAACTTTTGCGGACTCCAAACATTTTTTCATTAGTATTCGTAATTTTTAGCAAAAATTTAATGTTTTGCCACTACATATTCTAGGGAATACTTTATTATACTGTATCATAGTACCTAAAGATGTTGTGTTTTTATTTATGTAAGAAGCCATCAAGCTCTTAGCAATTTCATGCTCTAAAGTTATTCAATCTATTTATTTTTCTTTCTCGTGGACACATGTATTTTTATTCCCGTCGTAATTTTCGAAAAATTGTCACACTCAAATCAAATGGACAAAATGGTTGGTACTGAGGGAAATGCCAAGGATCCACCCCACCTTTGAAATATGAGAGCAAAAGCAAAGGTCAAGGTTAAAATCACTGATGACCAAGAAAGGCCTTTTCTCAAGAAATAAGCCTGTGAAAAATGAAAACTCTAGCACTAACTGTTAAAAAGCTATGACCAAGGTTACTTTATTTTACAAACAAAAAGGATCAGCACCCAAAGATTTTCTTAAGAGGATTACATCCATGGAATGTATAAAAACCTTAACATCAGCTGTTCAAAAAGTTATTTCTGAATTCAACTCTTTGTAAAATGTTGCAAAATTGAAAGATGCGTTGCGGCTTAAGAAAATTCAAAGAAATTTCAATTTTTAAGCTAGCATTCACATAAACCAATTCTAATCCTAATATTATTAGATAATTGTGGGGGACCAATATTCGCAAGAATTGTTGTCCCCGCTTTCGATGTCCTTGTGACTGAAATGCCATTTTTAATGACATATTGTGTCAAATATGAACGCCCTATCATATATGTCATTTAGAAATTATCACCGAAGTTGATTGTTTAGCTCTACTGGTCAGAGACCAGAGCTTATACGATAGTAATACGTCCGTCCGTCCGTCTGTATGTAAACATTTTTTTTCAAAATGCCACTCCTCCTACAGTTTTGGTCTGATTGCAATATAACTTTACACACAAGTAGAATACACTAACATACATATAGAAATCCATCGGTTTTGGATTTCAATAAACGGTTTGCCATGGTTACTTAAAATGGAAATTTTTGTGAACTTCCTTAAAAACACTACTCCTCCTACAGTTCTGATCGGATTTCAATATAACTTTGCACACAAGTAGAATACATTAACATACATAATTTATTGCATCAGTTTTTGATTTCGATGAACGGTGTTGCCATGGTTAGGAAAAATAGAAATTTCTGTGAAATACTTTAAAAACGCTATTCCTCCTACAGTTTGACTTGATTTCAATATTACTTGACACACAAGTAGACTACACTAATATACAAAATTTAGTGCATCGGTTTTTGATTTCGATAAACGATGTTGCTATGGTAACTAAAACCAGAAATATCTGTGAAATACTTCTGGTTTCAAAATAAGGTCAATCGTAAAGGTCATGTTCAAGGGATCAAAAATCATAGCATGCTCGGAAATATCTTGCCACAGGTAATGCATATGTCAATCATAAAAGCCCTATCTCTTCTCAATCAAAAGCTATGAGGAAAAATTAACAATTTTGAAAAGTAGGTTAAACTTCAAGGTCAAGTTTACAAAATTGATTTTCTATTGTTTAACGTCCCTCTCGAGAATTTTTCACTTATATGGAGACGCCACCACTTGCCGGTGGAGAGCTGCAAATTTTGTCCTATAATCAGCCCTCAGGGCCATTGAGCAGGGAGGGGTCTTTTTCGTGGCAACATCTACGGCGACACAGGACCTCGGTTTATACGGTCTCATCCGATTTTCCTCTTCAGTCCCACAGTGGGATTCGAACAGTTTGAGGAATGTGTAGTCCTTTCTTGGCGACTCTAGAGCGGACGCTCTAACCACTGCGCTACGCAGACGACAAGTTTAGAAGATCTAAAATCATAGTGTATTTAGAAAGGTCTTATCACAGGCAAACACAGATATAATGTGAAAGCCCTATCTCTTCTTAATTTCAGAATTCATGACCAATATTTAAGTTTTTGAAAAGTAGGTCACTTTATGGTCAAGGTCATTAGGTTAAAAATTATAGTGTTTAAGAAGGTCTTGTCACATGTTATACACATTTTAATATGAAAACACTATCTCTTCTCATCCAATAGTTATGGCCAATTCAAAGTAATGTTTAATTTTTTTGATAGGTCAAACATCAAGGTCACGGGGTAAAAAATCACAGTGTATTTAGAAAGGTCTTGTCACAGGTAATATACATGTATAATATGAAAGTCCGATCTCTTCTCATTCTTAAGAAATGAAAAAGATTAAAGGTTTTCGTTACGGATTTCCCCTCCCTTTTAATTTCAAGTCCCGTCTACTTTTGCAAAAGCTTGAACACATTGGTTTTTTAACAATCCTGAGTATTTTTTTGGCGAAAGCGAGCGGACATTTTTCACTATTTGATTGATTTACTGGTGTGTCAGTTTTGTCCATAACTTTTTTTAGCTTCTGTAACCATGACTTTCGTATTTCACATGTCTATTCCTTGTGACAAACCTGTTTATTAATACAAAATTTGAAATTGACCTAATAGTTACTTACATAATATATATACACAAAAATTCTCAAATATTAATATGATATTTATATCAAATTACTCATAGTATGTCAGAAGTCCTTATAAATTTTCAAAGAGAGATATCAGGAAAAAAGTTGCTTTGCTGCTGTTTGTAATAAAGGTATTGTCAGGGTTCTAATGTTACTCTGATTTTCTTGCAAATTAAAAAAAAGCAAGAAACTGATATATCACATGGATATCTAGGTCAAGTTCTGTTGGTACGTACCATTTTTGACACTACAGCCTTATACCCAACCTGAAAAATTTCAATTTTTGCCAAAGAAATATCTGTGTCATTTTCTTCGCAACTGTTGTACAAACTGAAATGAAATTTGGTATTCAGATATATCAGATGAATATCTAGGTCAAGTGTTTTTTACTAGTATATCATCGCACTATTTTTGATAGAGAGAGGCATCCTTGGACTTTACTTCAATTATTTGCAGTTTTCTCTCTCTAATTGTCACCGTTGTAATACAAAAAAATTTAGTAAATCAGACATTAACCTGATAAATATCTACGTTTAATTGTCACTGAAATATAAAAAAATGCCCCTTGAACAAAAAAAATTCCATTATTTGCTCTCTCTTTCATTTTCTTTGCAATACAAAAAACTGAAATGATATAATATACAGATTCTCTCTCTTAAATATCTGTAATACAAAAAATCTGTTTAGAATTAAAATCCCTCCATTTTTGATACATTTACCTTTATATGAAAATTTGAAATTAACAGTATTACATGTTTTACAAACATCTCTTGTTCACATATGTATTCTTTGTGGCAAGACCTTGAAATATTACTTAAAAATTTATCATTAACTTTTTAACAGGTGTTGCTACGTATTTTGCATCAAAAATATTATGTTTCTTGTCTTAAAAAGCACAGAATAATTATATCAATATATTTTCTTGCATTAAATGCCTATTTTACATTTCCCGTTATGTTGCCATTGGCTGGGTAATCCGTGTGTTAACAAACACATCTTGTTCCACATATTGAGAAGAGAGTATCAGTCACATTATCCAGTGATGTGCATACGATGGGCAAAATATTTTATCTGGCGTGGTTGCCGGTGTAACGACGAAAAGTGATCCTCGTAGAATATCGACCGGGGGTCATTTTCTACGAAGAAATTTGACTCCCTGGTCAATATTCTACGTAGAAAAATGACTCACTTTTCTGTAGAAATTATGGCCTTGGGGTCGTTTTTCTCCGCGTGCATTGTAGAAAAATGATCCCGTAGAATAATGACCCCTTGTCATTTTTTGATGCAAAAACGTTCCTTTTGGTAGGAATATTCTTGTTAGGCAAATGTATATATTAAATATGATATGAAGCTGCCTGATGCTTTGAAGTGTTTTTTTTTCTGAAAGCTTGTAAGCTTAGATAACGAAATCAAAGCTATACAATACCTTATATTTTAAATAATACAAACTGTTTTATCCCCATTTAAGGTTAAACAATATTAAATGTATTAAAATATTCTAAGGCTATTTAGGCAAAGAAAATTTTTCTATGTGCGCATTCATACAATCATTTATTACATTATATATATATCCATAGTTGTCATTTTCGTCTTTAAATAATATTCAAAAATGTCAGAAATTGTTTTTAAAAGTTTAACGTTTTTTATCAATCTCTTTAATTTTACCCTGAATAAAGGGCGCTAATTTGCAAAACTCAATTTTTCAAAAAATACGTTATTGGTTTCAAACTACTTTTAAAAATGGAATGATTTACATGCAATTTGTAAAAATAAGTCGAAATTAAATTGCCTCTGACTTATGAAAAGGGCAACAAACAGTAGTTGTAAAATATCTTTTCCCCGTTCTACATGTACAAAACTTACATTTGTAAATGTGATGATTTAACTAAAAAAACAAGTTTTTTTTTTACCAAAAATTGGCACATGTACATGAAAAAAAGCAAAACAAATGTTGGATTATGAAAAAAGTAGTTGCTTTACTTATTATACTTACTCCCCGGTGAACAAAGTTTAGGGAAGGGGGTATATAGTTTTTGTTTGTTTATTTGTCTGCAGAAACTTGTACCTTGCCCATAACTTTAGACAGGGTGGGACTATGGCTTTCATATTTCAGTTGTATTTTTGTGACAATACCTTTTTTGTGTACAACCAATTTTGACCTTTTGACCTTGGAGTTTGACACACTTTTACACAAAATTTCAAAACTTTTACTTTGGCATTAATTTTTGGACGGTATTTGCTAGGACTTTAGATATCGAAGTAATGGCATGGTAGACTAAGAGTTCATTTGTGTTTGAGGGACGTTACAGCAACCATTTGTCAGTTGCCTGTGTTGAAAAGGAAAGTTTTTTTTTTAATTTATAGATTTAATTTATAGATATCTCTAAAGATTGAACGAATATTCACTCAGATGTTTTTGACAGTGTTGAAAGAATTTTTAATATCTTTGTAAGAACGTTTTCGATGTGTATGGCATTTCCTGTATATACAGGAAAAAGTATAGTACTTTATATAAGGTAGTTAAAAAGTATATATTTTAAAGCAGAATGCATACAAATATATATATATATATATATATATATATATATATATATATATATATATATATATATATATATATATATATATATATATATATATATATATATATATATATATATATAAAAGATTAAAGGCAAGAACTAAGGAAATTAAATTTATATAATTAAATTGCGTTGCTTTTCTTGCTTCTATGTGTTTTGGGATTTGTAAAAATTTTAGTTTATGGTTATCAGAAACATATCATGCCATTTTCGGAACAGAACCTTTGAATGATAAAAAAAACCCACCTCAAAATATAATAATATTTAATTATGCTCCTCAGTGAAGAAGGATATGGAGATCACGAACTGTATTCAATATCAAAGTCCATAAAATCATCAGGAAATAATGGGAAAATCCGTCTTCAATTCAGTTTATAAATAATGGACTTACAATCTGTATGAAAAACGTCAGTCAGCATTTGACTCAATGATAAGTTGTATTTGCTGTCAAGGTCATTGTATCGACCATAGAACTTACGAAATGATGACTTTAAACGAGACTTCTGATATTCTTGTTTCATCAACTTGCTTGTCAATCATTTACCTCGTTTAAGAAATTGTTCATACGTAGAGCATGCTCTTGCGTATCGAATCAACTGAGATATAAAGGCTCCGTATGCAGGTGATAAATGTATATTGGTGCATAAGTAAGGGGGGTTAACGATAGAAACTTTAAAGTCATCATGTTTATCATATAGCTTAGTTGTTAGATTACCATTAACGTCCTTGTCAAGTAAAATATCCAAGAATGGAACAAATGTGTCAGACTCTGTGGTATCTTTAATTTTCAAGTTCACCAGGATAAATCGTATCGACGTAGGAATGGAAATTACGATTGCTAATTGACGATACGTCGTCGATATACTAGTATCTAAATGTCGATTTGAAGGCCACAGCAAGTGTTTTCTTCTTTTCACGCATAAGATATTGCACAAATTCTGCATTATAAGAATACAAAAATATGTCTGCTCATAACGGAGCGCAATTGGTACCCATAGGATTTCCAATAGATTGTTGGAAGACCTGGTCTCCAAAAACCCACAAAGATATTGTTAATCAGAAATTCAAACATCTTCTTGATGTCAACTTCAGAGTACTTGAGTGTGCAATCAGATGTTTTAACAAAATAAATTTGAATATGACCAATGACCAGGTAAGTAATTTTAGGAGTTCCATTTTTTTTGAAAAGGCACCTGTGAATGATATAATAAAAGCCTGCAATTTAATTTGTTGTGGGAAATGGTTGCGTATAAACTTGAAAAGTCGTAAGTTTTTAACCTGTTGATTTTGGACAAAAATCTTGTGATTTCAAATTGTCCAGATGTTCTTTGGAATTTTTTAGCATTCACATCTGATTTACACCACTTCTTGAAAATATTGTTGCACAGTACTCTGGAAGTTTTTCATTGGTTTCTGCAGGCCAAAATAATCCATACCAGAATCATTGATTGTGATGCTACTATTAAGATGCAATCATATATAAGTTGGAAAGGATTAAAGTTCATAAAAAAACCCTATTTACATTTGAAAGTATGAAAAAATATCAGGAGACACGGATATAAGGTTTTATAGTATAAAAAAAGTAGGGGGTCAAATTTCTATGGGGGTCATTTTTCAACGTGTGCTGAGTCGTAGAAATACTGGTCTGGAATGTTTTTCTACAGTCGAAAAATGACCCTGCTTGTCGTAGAATATTGACCCGGAGTCATTTTTCTACGTAGAAAAATGACCCCCTGGTCAATATTCTACGGGGGTCACTTTTCGTCGTTACACCGGCCGTACTTTCAAATGCCCAGCGATAAGTTGCTAATCATAAAACGATGTTCCAGGATAATCGGCCGATGTATATTACATCACTCAGACATTGGTAAACATCGTTCGTACATCGGTCGACTACGGGCCAATGTTTGGTCGAACATCGACAGATGATCAGTCGTTATCTGTTGAACACCACTAAACTCCCCGATGACCTCAAATTCAACGGATATTGGACGATGCTCGGCCATACATCGGCCGATCCTTGAAAGATGTGTTAATGATGGGTTGCCGATGAGGAGCGATGTGAGGCATTGTTGGAGACATCACTGAATTTTAACTTCGAATTATTACCTACCGATGACTCCACCGATTCGCAAAAAAGACTCAGTCTCCGTCCGATCACTAGTGGTGCCCGGCCGGCAACCACGCCATTTTCATCAAAATACGCATCGGTTTCTCATCGTATACCCCATCGTTGGATAATGTGACTTATACTTTAGTGAACTCAAGTTTTGTCATTTTTGGCTAAAAGAATTACTGACTTCTTTAGCAATTTTATTTTTCATCTCCCTGGACATTTAATGACAAGTACGTGTGTAATTTGTCTGTTAATATTGGTTATGGAGAGTGTAATTTGTCTGATAATATTGGTTATGGAGAGTGTAATTTGTCTGTTAATATTGGTTATGGAGAGGGTAATTTGTCTGATAATATTAGTTATGGAGAGTGTAATTTGTCTGATAATATTGGTTATGGAGAGTGTAATTTGTCTGATAATATTGGTAATGGAGAGTGTAATTTGTCTGTTAATATTGGTTATGGAGAGTGTAATTTGTCTGATAATATTGGTAATGGAGAGTGTAATTTGTCTGATAATATTGGTAATGGAGAGTGTAATTTGTCTGATAATATTGGTTATGGAGAGTGTAATTTGTCTGATAATATTGGTTATGGAGAGTGTAATTTGTCTGATAATATTGGTTATGGAGAGTGTAATTTGTCTGATAATATTGGTTATGGAGAAAGTGAAGAATATAAACACAATTAAGGAAGTCAATTGTTTTTTTTAAAAAAAAGTAAGTGATTTAGAGGCCACAGAGAAAAAAAATCAAAGTGCTTCAAAGGTTAATTTTTCTGTGACACATTGACCTGTAGACAAATAAGATTTAATATCTCATAGCTTTCGTGAAAGTGGCTGATGGTTATATATGATGAATCCATAATCTTTATATTTGCATATCCACTGCACTCTCCCACTATGAATATGTAGTCATCAATTGCATTCATAGCACTATAGACGCAATTGCTTTCACTATGTGTGCAATTGCTCTATCACACTCGTTTAGAACAGTCTCTACTACACAAAAACACCGTGTTGAGAAGTACATATACGAAATGTTTCATAAGAGGAATAAAAATAAGTTTTTAATAATATTCTTTGAAAAAAAAAGAAATTCAGACTATTTTAAATTGCTGATTTATATCTTTAAAATTTCAATTTTGGTCAATGTATTTAATTGTAAAATAAAACCTTTTAAAAATTGTAGAGAACTGCCATATTTTTATTTTTTGTATCATGCATATTTGAACAAAGAACGATAACTCTTCACACTTGGGTAATAACATTCAGAAGAAAAAAAATCTTTAACTAGCATATTTCAAAATTGAATTCAGCTATTAAAAATAAATAGAAAAACTTAAAAAAATATAGAAAAGCATTCTGGAATAATAATCATTATAAGAGCATTCTTTTTTTTCATCATAGTGTTAAATTATTGATTTTCGTCAGAGGGTTTTAATAACATTGATCAATGACGTCACAACTGCAACAAAACAAAAATGTAATAATGGCGCTGCTTGTATCCAGAGGGAAATACTATATAAATATGTTTGTGATTTATTAGAGAAAAGGAGCATTAATCAGGTTTACTGATTTTAAAGCCGTATGTTTTTCTTTACTGAAGACAAGAAGCTGCGTCCTTATGTAATTTCCTCTAATATTCTTGAAAAAAAATCAAAGAATGCAAATATAAGTAATAAACAACGATTATTCAGTGAACATGGCGTTATGAATAGCAATAGCTCTGCTGGCATATTTTCCATGATGCGCTAGCGCGCATCATGGAATATGCCAGCAGAGCAATTGCTATTCATAACGCCATGTTCACTGAATAACGTTGTTTATTTCTTAATTAATTTGATCTACTGTGATAGATCTGTAGTCAGATGAGATTTAATATCTCCTAGCTTTCGTGATGGTTGAGGACAGTTATGATGAATCCATTATTTGATTAATTTAGTCTATTTGTATTTTATGAAATAAATCTGGCATTTTAAAAGGCAGTATTTGCTTTTGGTAAGCTGTTTTAATGTCCTTCTTCATATAGAAGTATAAACATCTTACAGGTAGATAACACAGGCGTGTCACATGATCAGAGTCCATACACAGGATAGCACAATTGCAGAACTGTCAGGTAAGAATTTTTGTGCAGATGAAAAGTTCACAAAATCATTGAAAATTCTTTTCCATAGGCTTTAACAATAGGAAACAAAATTAAAATTTCTTTAAAATTTAAAAATTCAATAAATCTTAAATTTTAAACAATACTGTAGACGTACTTTTTTCCGCGGGGTCATAATTCTGCGGAATCTCAATTTCTATTTAATCCGCGGGTAGAAAATTACGCGGATTTTCTTGACTGTCACTTTATGCCTTACATTCATATTAAGTACGCTTGGACAAATTTCTGCGGATTATCTGTGACCGCGTACATAGCGTAAATTAATACCACGCGGAAAAAAGTACTTCTACAGTACATGTGCATTGAATTGTCTGTAGAAATTTGCAGGCTTGTAGTACGTGTCAGGACCAAACAACGCATTCCCTACCCAACTTATCTTGTAGAATAGTCTTCAGCTGTAGTTTTCATATAATTTTTTTATTAATAGGCTGCTTGCTTTCTCCACTTTTTGCTACAGTAAGAGCAGGCTTTCGCAAATTCTTGCATAAAAATGAATTGCATAAAACTTAAGGAGGAATACCATACCAAAAATTTTATTTCATAGGCCTTTAAAACATTCCTAGGATATTCCATATACAACGGCCAACTGCTTACTGTCAACTGCTCACTGCCAACTGCCAGCTGCTTACAGCCATCTATTATTGGTTATAGACAAATCTCATGCAAGAAAAGAAGAACGAACGATAGTGATTATGTCCACTACATGTGTAACTCCAAATTCAGTTTTCAAAAGTTATTACATTTGAAGTTTTTTTTTTCATATTTTTATATGGATATTTATGGGAACTTTCATAAAACATATTTTTTTATTCCCTTCATCGCCCTCGTCGTTTAGAATTCCTGAATAGACCCATATTTTGTAATTATTGCAATATCATTGCAAGCATAGTTTATGCTGTGGTCTTCAACTCGACATTTAGATATATCGACAACGAATTGTCAATTAACAATCATGGTAATCCCCATTCCTATGTTAATACAATATATCCTGGTGAGTTTGAGATAAAACGTGATGACTTTATCTTTTCTATCGTCAACTTCCCTTGCTTATTTTGTAAGTTCATAGGTCGATACAATGACCTTGTTGGCAAATACTATTTATCATTGAGTCAAATGCTGACTGACGTTTTTCATACTACGTGTTAGTCCATTATTTATACACTGAACTGACAAGAATTTTCCTGTTATTTCTCAATCACGACAAGAGCAACACGGAGGGTGTGACCGGGGGATGCTGAACCCCTCCATGCCAATCATCCCACCTCTGATGTTTTGTAGGTCCGTGTTTGCTTTGCTCCTATTACAGTGTATTTATTGTTTTTATGGACTTTGAAATTGAATACTGTTCGTTATCTCCATATCCTTCATTCAAGCATGTATTTTAAAGATAAAAAGATGATAAAACTCATAATATCACCTATAACTAGAAACCGTTGCCAGTAAACAGATGACTGTCGTATATGAAACTTCATACATTCCTGTTAGGTAGTGTGTTCAGCAATAAAAGGCCAATAACAGCTCTTCGTTATCTCATACGAATTTTTCCTATTTTTCATAGGAAAAAGTATAATTTGCATATAAGATGCTTTAGGGTAAACAAATTTGTCTTAATAAATGCATAATATGAATGTTTGATAATATGTTAATAAAGGTTGGATAGACATTTTTATTTTTGAAAAAAATGAAAATAAAGCACATATATAATTTGCTAATATTTTCTAAACATATGGTTAAAATTTCATAAAACTAGTCCTAACTACAAAGAATATGTCAGTCAATCATATGTATTTTAAAAAGATATGCCAGCATAATTGTGAAATTATAGAGAAAATATTTTTTTTATTAATTTGGCTTATCCTAATCGAAATAAAACAGATCCCAACCAAAATTTTGTAATAGATAATATTTCTAAAATTGTACTTGTTTGTTTAGGTGAAATATAAGGTTAAAAGGTAATTAAACTTGATAATCAAATACATTTTAGTGGTAGATTTGAAAATATTACAGTAAATTATTAGTTAATTAATTTGTGCTAATTTTTAATCGGTATCAGTTTATTTTTGGTCGCAATTAGTCTAAACATTAAAAACAAAAATCAAGCATAGTAAAATAAAGTGTATTTACTTTTTGAAAGCTGCTATTTTTAAATAATTTATAAATATTACCAAATTTAGGTAATTCCGAGTTTTAAAAAATCTAATTACATTTTTAAATACTGGTAACTGATTTTTAAAAATGATGTTTTAAATGATGGATAGATAGACGTCGTAATAGTGTGTTTTGTGTCTCCCCCTAAGTACTACTTAGTATATGTTTTAACCCTTTGATCTTGTCCTTTGTCCTTGACCCGCTTTCAAAAAAACTTTTACTTGAATTTTATGATAACTTTTAAAAGGTTAGTACTTGGGCTTCCATATTTCAAATATATATATTCATTGACTCAAATCTTTATTTAAGATAACATTTTTTTATCTCTTGCCTTGGAGTTAGACGTGCCTCATTTGAGAAACTAACTCCAAGGTCCACCATACGAGGGCATCAGTGTTTCACAAACACATCTTTTTTTTCGGATTGTCCCTCTCCTTTGAAAAGATTAATTTCTCCTTGCCTGATGTGTTAACAATCTACCTTTTTACCCATTTGTCATAGGAAAACAGTCTTTACTGGTGTGAAAAAATGCATGTTGCCCTTTAACCCAATACATAAATGTTATCAATGTTGAGTTTTTTTGCTTTAGTTACGAAATCTAATGATGGACCCCGGTGCCCAGGATGTGCCCTCTGCTCCAGTCAAACAGCTGCGTGATGAACCAGAGAGTGTTACCACCATAAAGACTGAATATAGTCGTCACCTCTACAATGTGGCCTGTCTTGGTGATGTAGAAATCTGGACAAGAGGAGATGGCAACACCATGAAACTCTTCAGCATCAATCGGGGATCACTGCTCAAGTCAGTCACAACCAAGTCAGGGTACATATCATGGGACATAGCAGTGACAAAAAGCGGAGATCTAGTTTATACTGATAACAAAGATAGAACTGTGAACATTGTGAAGAATGAGAAGATAGAGGAGGTGATCAGACTACAGAACTGGAAACCTCAGTGTGTCTGCAGTACCTCCTCTGGTGACCTCCTGGTTATCATGGTCAGTGATGATAAAAAACAATCAAAAGTTGTCCGTTACTCTGGCTCAACAGAGAAACAAACCATTCAGTTTGATGATCAAGGTAATCTTCTCTACTCAGCTGGTAGTCGTAACAGACACATAACTGAGAACAAGAACCTGGATATCTGTGTGACTGACAATGAAGCTAAAGCAATAGTGGTGGTCAATCGAGCCGGGAATCTGAGATTCAGGTACACTGGACATACTCCTGCTCCAAAGAACAAATTCTTCGGTCCAAGAGGAATCACCACAGACAGTCAGAGTCACATCCTTACAGCTGATTATTACAATGACTGTGTCCAAATCATAGACCAGGATGGACAGTTCCTCCGTTACATAGAATGTGGACTGAGTAGTCCCTTGGGACCATGTACAGATAAAAGTGACAATTTGTTTGTACCTGAATTGTGGAGTAGACAAGTGAAGAAAATAAAATATTTGAAATAATATACAGCACTAGTACTGTCTTGTACTCTATGAAATAAAAGATGTATGTTATATAACCGATGTAACAATTTGCTGCATAATAAAATTTTGTAATAATACATATATGAATTGGGAAATAAAAGACACGCGTGGTTAACTTTAATGTGAAATAAGTTTATTTTTCCTTTTATGTTCTAATTCGTTCACACTCAAACGAACATAAATCATTTATACCATAAATAAACACAGTGTGTAGGTACAGAAGCGCTCTCAAGAGTGCAGTTTATTTACAACATTGAACAACAAAATAATCTTCCGTAATATAAAGTCTTGTTAACTCCACTCTCTGTAATAACGAGAAAAAAGACAATATGAAATATATGTATTACAATAAACACTGTGAGGGTGGGTGGGTGGGCGCCACGTCTATACTGCACGAAAAGAGAGCCTTCGAATGGGGTTTAATTGTTAAACAGGTGATAAGGTGTGTCGCGTAAATACCTGTTAAACAGGTTCTATTTCTGAAATAACTAACCAATGAAAATTGGTTTCCGGAATAAATATAAATAAACAAACACGTGTTCGATCAACACACGTGTTACTATAACTGTAATAAATACGTATTTTCCATAAAATTTCCCTAACTTAAAACTTTTTTTTTTATTAAAAAATTTAATCCAAATAAAAATCTTTAATTTCCTTATATTCTTTGGGAAAAGTCTTTAAATATATTTTAAAAAAAAATTTTTTGTCCTTCCGGGGGTTTTTTGGATAGTTCTGGATCTTCCAAAAGAATATTATATTTTTCAAAAAAATTAAATTTTTAAAGATTTCCTTTAAATTTAATTTAAATTTAAAATTTTGTCCCCAACCCCCCGGGGAAATGTTTAAAATTAATGTAACTTTGAATTTAAAAGGGGTTTTTCACTCCAAGGGTCTTAAAGGGAAAATTTTTTAAAATTCCTATTTCCTTAAAAATCAACGGCAAGGGCCCAACCCCGTTTAAAATTTTTTCACTATCCTAATTATTACATATTTCTTTTACCATTTTTTGAGAAAATTTTAAAACATGCTTAAATTACATTCATATTCTTTGGAAGGGTCCTTTTTAAAACTTAAGCCCCCGAGGAATTTTAGCATTAGTAAAATTTTCCAGTGTTTAAGAAAGAAATTTTGGGAATTATTTTTGGGAAAAAAACCCCTTCCGGATTTACAAAAAGGGAAAACCTTATAGGCTGCAAATTAGGCCTATTCGCACTTATTTAAGGAATTTTTCACCTTCCCGGCCTCGTTTAACACTCACCAAAGGGTCCCCTTTGTTTTTTTTAAAAATGGATTTCAACCCGGGGCCCCCCATAAAATTAAAAGTTTTAAGAACAAACCAAAACAAGGAAAATTTGATAGAAATTTATTAGCTTGGTTAGTAAAAAATCCCCTTTTCCGTGAATATTTGTGTGTAACAGAGAGTTAAATAAAAATTTAAAATAAAGACAGTCTAGGTTGTTTTTTAAAATTTATTCAAACCCAAAGCACCCTCTTACCCAATTTCTTTCCTTAATTTCACTAAATAAAGAATTAAATTTTTAGATATTGTAAATTTTAAAAATAAAGCATTAAAGTAAATAAATATATTAAAAAATTTTTTAAATGTTCAACAAGTTAAGTTTATTATAGTACAAATCAAACCAAAAACTCAAAAGCATGTTTATTTTGTTTAAACAATGACCTGGTAAAAAAAATCCAAGGGGAAAAATCCCCCGGTTTTAAAGGTGGCCTTTAGAAAATTTGGCTATAAGGGTTCATTTGCTAAAAATCCCTGAAAAGCATATATTTAAATTTATTTTTACATTAATTTGGGGTTTGCCAAAAAAAATACGATTAAAATTCACAGATTTAAAACTAAAATTCTCAATAAAAATTTGTAAAATTTAAGGAATTCAGTTGGGATTAATTAAACAAAAAACAATATTTCAAACGGTAATTTTTAAACCCCAGTTTTTTAAATTGTTTATAAAATAATTGAAATGACCAGTCAAATAAAAAAATAAAAATTAAATTTTTAAATAAAATTCAATAAACAACTTTTTTTAAATATGGGAAATGAATTTTTGTTAGGCAGGAACCCGAATTTTATTTCCCCGCCTTTCGGGAAATTGTCCCATTTGTTAAAAATTAAATTTTCCTCCCAATTTTATGGATAAGAATTAAATTTTTTCCTGCAAAAAAAAAATTTTATTTCATGCAGATAATTGGACGGGAAAAATATTCTTTAACCCAAGGCGTTTATAATATTTATGGACATTAGGGGATTAACTTTAATTTGAAGGGTATAAGTGAAAACATAAAAAGGGGGTAATTTATATTGTATTTAAAAAAAAATATAAAAATAAAAATAATAAATCCAAAAAGAGTTTAAAAAAAATAAGCGAAATATGAAAATTTTTTTTTTTAATTTTTTTAAAAGGAGAAAATTCACTATCTGTTTTTAACTGCTAATATTAAAAAAAAAAAAAGGTCATTCAAAAAAATCGAAATTTTATTTTTTTTATTTTAAATTTTTAAAAAAAACCCTTCAAAATTATTTTTTTGTAATTTTTTAAAATTTTAAAAAAGGGGTTTTTTTAAATTTAAAATTTGAAACCACTTTTAAAAATTTTTAAAAATAAAAAATTCAAAAGGGTTTTTTTTAAAAGGGTTTTTTAAAATAAAAAAATTAAAGTTTTTTTAAAATTTAATTTAAAATTTTCCCAAATTTTTAAAATTTTTTTTTAAAAAAATTTGAAAAAAAAAAATTTTTTAAACCAAAAAATTTAAACTTTTTTTTTCCCAAAAACCTTTAAATTTTTAAAAAGGAATTTTTTAAAAAAAATTTTTTGTTTTAAAAAAAGTTTTTCGTTTAATCGGCAAAATAAAAATTTTTTAAAAATAAAATTTTAAAAATTTTTTTTTTTTTTAAAATGAAACTAAAATTCTAAAATTTAATTTTTTTTAAATTTTTTTAAATTTTAAAAAATTTTTAAAATTTTTAAATTTTAAAAATTCAAAAAAATTTTGGGGGAAAATTTTCAAAAAAAGAAAAGGGGGGCCTTATAAAAATTTTTAAAATTTAATATTTTTTTTAATTATTTTAATTTTTTTTTTAAAAGTTTTTTTAATTTGTTTTTTCTTTTTTACCACCAAAAAAATTTTTTTTAAAAAAAATTTTAAAAAATCAAAAAAAACCCAGTTTAAAATTTATTTAAAAGGGTTTTTTTTTAAAATTTTTTTAATTTTAAAAAAAACCCGGTTTTTTTTTAAACCTACACAAAAAACCCGGGGAAAAATTTCAAAAATTTTTTTTCATGTTTTTTTTTTAAAAAATTTTAAAATAAATTTTTTTTTTAAATTTGGGGGAATTTTTTCCCTTTTTTTTTTTTTAAAAATTTTAAAAAAAAAACCCTTTTAAATGAAAATTTTAAACCCAAAAAGAAATATTTTAAAAGTTTAAAAGGGGGGGGGTTTAATTCTATTTTCCCCCATTTTTTTTAAAAATGCAAAAGTTTTGTTTAATTTTAAGGTTTTTTTAAAAAAATTTTTAAAAATTTTTAACCCCAAAAAAAATTTTTTTTCCCAAATCCCCCCTTTCTTTTTAAAAAAGATTTTCCCCAAAAAATTTTTTAATTTTTCGGGAAATTTTCTTTTTTTCCCAAAAATTTCCCAATTAAAATTTATTTTTTTTTGGGGTTTTTTTTTTTAAAAAATTTTTTTCCAAAAAATTTTAAAAATTTTTTTAATTAAATGTTTTTTAAATAAAAATTAAAATTTTTTTTTTTAAATTTTTTTCCCCAATTTTTAAATGATTTAAAATTTTTTTTTTGGGGGGGCAAAATTTGTTTTTTAAAATTACCCTTAAAAATTTTTAAAAAAAACCCTTTTTTAAAAAATTTTAAAAAAATTTTAAATTTTTTTTTTAAAATTCAAACCCCCGAAAAAAAAATTTTGGGTTTTGAAAAAAGCACCAAAAATTTTTAAAATTTGGCGGACTTAAAATTTTTCCCCCCTTTTTTCCCCAAAATTTTTGGGTTTAAATAAATTTTACTATTTTTAAAATTAAAATTTTAAAAAATTTTTGAAAATTTGAAAAACCTTTTCCCAAAATTTTAATTTTTAAATCTTTAAAAAAATTTTGTAAAATTTTAAATTTTTAAAAGATTAATAAATTTTTTTTTTAAAAATTGCTTAAATTTATTTGTGTATAAAAATTAAAAAAAATTTTTTAAATTAATTTCCTAAAAAAGGGGGGATTTTTTTAAAAAAGGGAAACGCCCCCAAATTTTAAAAACTCTTTTAAAAAAAACCCCCTTTTTGGGTTTTTTAACCCCTTTTTAGGGGGGGAATTTTTTTTTTTCCCCCTGTTTTTGGGGAAATTATTTTTTTCCCCCCAAAAAACCTTGAAATTTAAAATTTATGTAAATTTGAGCACAGTTTCCTTAAAATCCCCTACTTTTTTTTTTAGAAAGGAAAGCGCTGCATGCATATTTTTTGGTGTTTTTACACATCTTATAATTAAGAATATTTGGAAGAAATTATAGCTCTCCTGATTGAGATGACAGGATAATTGGTCAATTGGTAAAGAGTTAATTACTGTTTTTATAACTTCATGCCATTACTCAGATCGTCAAGTTGTTTTTTTAATGATATTAAAAACATCACCGTTAAGCACTTTTAATTATAGAATGTATATATTTTGCCGTTATCTATTAATTATATATTATCATAAGGACGTTGTAAATTGTAAATTAAAAGAAAGTTCAGACATTGACTACATGTAGTTCTGATTATGGTGACAGCGCAGAATTTACTTTTTTTAACATCTGCGTTGGAAAATTATCCCTGTCTGATTTCGCAAGCAAAATTCATGGTTTTCTTAATTTTTTTCTTGTCTATTGAAATTGAAATAAAATATACTCTTATATACATAAAATTCCCGATCAAAATAATAAACAGAATGTAATTTCTAACTTCTTTTTAGCCTTTTTGTGTATATATAAAAAAAAATGTCAAAATGTATATCTTGATACGACTAACCGGTTAATCAGTCGGAACGTTTTGCGGTTAACCGATTAGCAATTCTGCAATCGATTGCCATCCCTATAATATATAGATCTATTTCAAAGTATATCATTCTTGGCAATGCATATTTCATAGAATTCCCATCATATAGTCATAATATATATATATTGTAAGTATCAAATAGCACCTCTTTCTAGCATTATATGTATTACTTTACTAAACATTAGCTGATAAGCATGTCAGATTTATTAATGCACTGATACAGAGAATGTCCCCCAACCCCTATTACTTATTGACGAAAATTAAAGCTTAGTTAATTAGTCAGAATATTTTTTTTTCTGAAAATCCAAGAATAACTGTTGTATACTAATTTGTATGCTAACTAGCGTAGTTTAAAGTTTACAACCATATTTCACAACCTTTTTTCAGTAATTATCCAGTACAACTATTTTTATTTTAGCCTAATTAATAATTAAGTTATATTGTAACAGTAAATACGATATTTAATATTAGATATTTCTCCATTTAACACTTACATATTATTAGAATTTCACCACAATATCCTATTATCAAACCTACACAATGTAGAAATTAATTTCTGTATATCTTAGCATAACAGAATGAATTTTATTTTTAGCTTGACATAGTTATTTATAGCTTCTTGTTCTATTTATAGGTGTCTTCCTGGATTCCCCCACCGAATTCACTGTGGATGCCAAATCTGTTACCCCCTCTGGGGAGGGTAATGTAAGAGCCATTGTCAACAACCCCTCTGGTACCAAGAATGACACTAAGGTCACCAACAAAGGAGACGGTACCTACGATGTACTCTACACACCTGTTGAAGAAGGTAAGGGGTGACAACTGTAGATTTGTCAAGACTGAAATATCAGAAAAGATGTGTATTAGCTGTAGGTATCACCTATAATATTGTGATACAGGACAAATAACTCTGTTTGAGAAGAAATTTGAGGATTTATCCTTCTTTCTAGTTATGCTAAGCTGCAAAGATTTTAGAAATTTTACCTGTATATACACTGTATATGTGCTTAACTTGGAACAGAAAAAGCAGAGCAAAAAGCTATGAAATGCTAAATGGTCTGTTAATGTATTTTGTGCATTTTTCAGGAACTATTGCTATGGATGTCACCTACGACAACATGGCAATCCCTAACAGTCCGTTCAAGGTCAACGCCGTGCCCGGCTGTGACGCCAGTCGTGTGAAGGCCTACGGTCCCGGGCTACAGGGCGGCTACACCAACCAGTCCCAGGTGTTCACCATCGACATCAAGGGGGCGGGACAGGGCGGTCTGGGACTGTCCATTGACGGACCCTCTGAGGTACCCATCAACTGTAAGGACAACAGAGACGGGACCTGTACTGTGGAGTATATGCCCAGCAAACCCGGGGATTACGATGTGTCTGTTAAATTCGCTGACCAAGAGATTCCCAGTAAGTCCTAATTTAGTTGAAAGCTCAAAAGAGGCTTTCTTTGAAATTAATGTTAACAGTATTTCGGCAAACTCTTGAGGTTGCAGTGCCTCTTTTTGTTCATGCATCTTTCCAATCATACAACTGAAGGTTTCTTATAATTTTTTGTGGTCCCAATGGAAGTAGAATCTTTATTGTTCTATTCATTGTAAATTTTATAGTAATGAAATAGCTTTTCCAGAAAAATCATTAAAAACCTACTAGGTATAATGACATGTATCTGCCAAATAAAAAGATGTACAAATATTCATTGTCTGTTTCTAATTTTAGACTCACCTTTCCGTGTGGCTGTGAAGAACCCAGTTGATGCCAAGAAGGTCAAATGTTACGGACCTGGAATCGAGCCAATGGGAGTGAAGACCGGTGCCCCTGCGACCTTCACCGTGGATACCACCGAGGCCGGGGAAGCTCCTCTGGAGGTCACCTGTACTGACCAGAGAGGTCGCGTCCAGCCTGCTCAGCTGACCCCGGTGGCTGAGGGCGTGGTGGACGCCACCTACTACCCCGTGGAGGAGGGGCCATGTAAGGTGGACGTCAAGTACGCAAACCAACACGTACCAGGAAGGTGAGAGGGTGTTGCTTTAGAAAACCTCTTATTTTTGGAATAATAGTTTTTTGGGTTCCAGAAGGATTTGATCATGTAATAAAATGAGAAATATCTTACTGAGTAGGGCTTTAACATTTTTATAAAGGATATGAACTTGTGGGACTTTTCATACTAAGAAAATTTAGAAAATTACTTCCCTACAAAAATTATCACTTTCAAAGTATTTTTAAACAACAATTGGGATAAAATTACATGTATTGGAAGACATAGATTAAGCCTAAAGATAACTGATGGATAAAAAAAGTGAAAATTAAATGAATAATTTCAACAAGAGAAAGTTAAAGATATTCCCTTGTATATTACTAAATGTTGACATTCTTTGTAATCATAGAGTGAAGTTTGAACTAAGCTTATTTTTTTATTTCAGTCCATTCACCACCAAGGTGGAGCCCGGGGTGGACGCCAGCCGTGTCCGGTTGTCTGGAGCCGGCGTCCAGGAGAACATCCCCGCCAGTTTACCAGTCAACTTCCTCATCGACACCAGGGAGGCCGGCATCGCTGACCTGGAAGTTCTTATCAAGGTAAGGGTCAAAGGTCACCGTTAAAGAGGCCAATCAGTGGAAGATGCAAGGTTAAAAGATTGCTCTCTCTCTTCCTTGCATTTTTGCACTCTATAATGAGAAGTACAAATTAAAAGCAGAATTCCTCAAAACCACAAAGCCCTTGTTTTCTGTCTTGATGACTCAAAAGAAAAGCTAAATTTGAAAGTTTTGTTAATGAATTAAATGAGTAAAGCTGTTACATAACTCAAGTTATTTGTTCACCTCAAAGTAATGCAGTGAAAAGGTGCTCTTAATCATTGGTGTATAGACAGACACAGAGAGAGAACAGACGAACCTTTGTATTATAGTGCAGTAATAACAAAAGTGCAGGCACACTGTGCAATGTCTTATGAAGGGAGGTAACTCCTCAGAGCTTGATGTATACAGCTGAAGCTGATGTCTGGGTTTTCTCAGTGTATGATAAATTCAATCATCACCTCCCCCCTTCCATCTTGTTTTCCAGCCCGGGAGGGATTTATTGCCCCATTAACATCAGAATAAAGCAGAGTAACACCTGATACTGACACAGGAAATTTAGAGCCTTCTGGGAAATCTCTGATACCTTATAAATGTTAGAAATTTAGGTTGATTTTTATTTTTAGGTTATGCAATGTGTAATATCAAAAAAAAATATTTGATGTGTCCTTGAAAAATATTTTGGGAGGTGGTATGTTGAACAGTAGCTTTTAAAGTAAGAAAAGCTACTTAAATCTGAACTCACTTAATATATAGATACACTGTATTCTTTTATACTGTAGGGGACTTTGTTCTATGTTCTTAATATACATAATAAGAATATACATAATATGAATATACATAATAAGAATTTGGGTTTTAAGGAAGCAAGATTTGAAGTCCCAAATGACTTGATTAATTTTAAAAGATTTTTACTGTAAAACCATTTGGCACAATCATCCAATTGTACCCCCAATTGTTTAATCAAAAATCAATTTTAAAGAATAATCCTCTCTTAAGTTGTCAAATATAATGAGTGAATAATCTCTTCAAATACAGCAAACTGTTTCCAGATTTTTGCTTAGTCAAGATAATTGCTTATTATGCTGCACTGGTTTGCTCCAAAAGATGTGATAATTAAATGAACCTTGAAATTTCAAAAAAATATTTTACTTCAAATGCTCTAAGGTGATTTATGTGAGTTGAGAAAGACTTGAAAAAACAATCCAGCCTTGTTGAAAAAGTGTAGAAAAATGAAATATATGGGAGGACAAAGGAATATGTATGAGATTTTTAATGAAGTGTATAGCAACCATTATAATTAAAATGAATTGTTCCCCACTCATCGTGTGCAGTCCCACCCAAAAGATAAAGATGAAGCACTCGTTTACCAAAAAAATTAGGAAAAAGTGCAGGAATTTTTTATAAAAAACTTTTAAAGATTTGGAGAGAGAGACTTGAAAAAAAGATAGAAGGAAACCATTAATTTGACATCTGTTAGAAAATTTCCTTAAAAATTGAATACCATGCATTTTGTTTATTACTATAGATATCATTTCAATAAAACTCAGTTTTAACAAACTCAACTGGACCAATGAAATTAATTTGCTATATCCATAATTTGCAATATCTGTATAAGGAATTCTTCGAATTTAATACCTAAGGAACCACTATAACTTCCCTATACCTGTGAATTCGCAATATCTGAGTTTGCATGTACTAAGCGTGTTTTACTGTATTGAACTGATTGTTTATTGTTGTTTGTTAACAGAGACCTGACGGTACCTACGCTCACCCCCACATCGTTGATAATGGTGACGGAACCTTCACCGTGTCCTACGTCCCAGACGACCTTGGAACCTACGAGATCCTGATCAGGTTTGGAGGTCAAGTGGTACCCAACACCCCCCTCAAGGTCAACGCCTACCCCGTGGGTGATGCCAGCAAATGTAGAATTACAGGTAAGTTGTATTACTGAAAATATGAAAAACAGATCAATTTCTCCGGTGATATTCTGTCGTTTGGTTTGTGATCTTGCTTCATTTTGATTTGAGATTGGAGAATTTTTGGAATTATGTCGTATATATTAGCGTAAACACTCATTAGACTGTCATAAATTAGTGTGAAATCCAAATGATATTGAAATGTAATAATTATGACTTTGGTCTGTAACATTGACAGAGGGTCTGGAGAACACCACGGTCCCCATCAACAAAGAGACCGTCATCTGTGTGGATGCCTCCCAGGCTGGAGAAGGCAAGGTCACCTGTCGTATCCGCAGTCCCAGCGGTAACGACATCGATATTGACATCGTGGAGAATCCCGATGGAACGTTCAGCCTCCTCTTCACTCCTCAGATGATGGGCGCCTACACCATTAACATCAAGTTTGGTGGACAGAGTGTGCCCGGTGGAGAATACGATATCCAGGTAAGTTCAGGAAGGAGTGGACACTGCCCACTAATTGTCCACTATGTCATTTAGTGGACACTGCCCACTGATTGTCCACTATGTCATTTAGTGGACACTGCCCACTGATTGTCCACTATGTCATTTAGTGGGCAGTTCTGTTTTGTTTACTCTTATAGTGAGTGGCAATCATTGAACTGCCCACGAGTTGCCCACTATATCATTTAGTGGGCAGATCTAGTTTGCCTGTCATAAAAGGGAGTGGCAATCATTGATGGCAGTGGTATTGCCTGATCCTAGCTATAGATAGGATTTATATTGTTTGGCACTAAAGGAGTAGGATTTATTTATTTTCAAAAAAATGCCAACTGCATGACTTAGGAAATATTTGCTAGCTAGCATGCACTCAGATGAGTTGGATTAATTGGAAGAAGAGCACATTGTGATTTTCAGTTTTGAACAATTTAAAAGCAATAACCTGATAATTGCTAAATATGGAAGTCTTTTGACTAAGTTTCAGTTTGATTGTTTTGGCAAGAAGTGTTAAAATGTCTTATTATCCAAGAACTCACAACATCTTAAATGCCATGCCCAATATTTAATTCAACGAAAAAGTAGAGATTTATGTTAGGAAAGCACCCAAAACACATGATTCACTACAGAAGAAAAAGAACAAATCACTAGAGATCTCCTAGATTTTTGTTCTGTTGGCACAAAACTGAGAAATGTTCGAAATTCTGCAGTTCTTGCATCAACAATTACATTCTATCAATGCCAATTATTTCTGGCCTTGCCTTTTCCAAAAAAAAAAAACCCATCTTGTTGACATATGTATATATTTGTTGTAGACATCAAGTAAATCAAATATGTGATAACTTTATTATGCATGACTTTGCATGCGAGGGAATTTGAACTCCCTGGTCTTGCATGAGTTGGAAGAAAATAAGATGTTTGTTTTTTCTATTGAAAATATTTTTCATTCAACTTTCAAATTTATGAAGAGAGGATGGCCTTTAGAGGGTGAATGTCTTGTAAATCAGGCTTATTTTGCCCCGATTCCTGGGTGGGTTGGTGAGTGGCGAAGATAATCAATATAAACTCTGAATCATTGATTGTCAGTAAAAATTCCAGGAAAATTCGTCTTGCAAGCTTTTGGAATGTGGAAACATGGTTTTAAGAGCTTCTGTCTATGAGAAAATTTACAAGACTGAGAATTTCTCTTTTTTTTGTGGGAGTAGTAGAATATTTTTGTATGCTTCTTCAAGAACCTGTTGTGTAGAACTGAAAGAGATGAGTTTTTCTAGAGGGTTTTGGAAACGATCGACCAATAGGCGTAATTATGTGATTAAGTAGAAAAAAATATATTAACAACGTTAATTGTTTTGAGAACAAGAAAGTTAAATCTACAGATGAATTACTTTTTTCTGCGTTCAAATAGTGACGATTTGTTAAAAAAAAAAAGAAAAAAGAAAATGTTTACTTATGCAAGTCTGTTTATAGAACCACAACTGATTCATACAAATTGTAAACAGCTAATAGGACACGATTTATGAAGTATTACAAAGAAATATGGCTTCAGAAGCTCATTTGGAAAGCAAGAAACATATACATTGATGTATGTAGGGAGAATCATTGTTGTGTTTTGGAGGTAATTGTCAGAGTGGTTGAGTCAAGTTCGAGGGTTTGACAGATGAGGGTGATTTTCCGCATAACGGAAATAATTCCCAGCATGCTTTGTTGACAGTTTCATTTTTTTCAGGCCGTTTAGAGTACAATTATCAATTGCAGCATATTCCATAATTCAGCATCCAAGTATTTAGAAAAGAGATTGTTCTTTTTCTTAATCAAAAAGATTTTTTCAGCACATTTTACATTGAAGAAAAATAAGTCTGAAGAGGGCTGAGGGTAGCTCAATTTATCATAGAGTGCATTTTATTTTTGTTTGCTTCATTAATCACATTCCAAGATGAATTCCCATCCTGTTATTTCCATTGAAGTTTAGCCATTGTAAAGAAAACATTTCTGCTAATTAGATATCTATGTTCATTGTTTTGTTGTAAAGAAAAACAAGATAAAAACATAACGTTGCATTAAGATAAGATGGATGATGGGAAAGAAGGAAAAGACATGGAATTTTTTTTTTACGAATGATATGCTTTTAGGATGAGTTCCAGATTTTGTTACTATAAATAGCTCCTGTGCCTTATTTTGGGAAGACTGGTAAATGATCTATTAGATGAAGATAAATGCAGGTATTTTGATATCACTCTCGGCAACAGACGGCAAAGTCTTCACCCAGCGTCTGACCGAATTTGTTGAGAGATATTTCCAAGAGTTTTCCGCCGAAGGACCCCCCTTAAATTGTTCCTTTGACTTGGAACGTAATTTAAAAACTAATTGTGAATGAAACAACAATTTTTTGTTTTTCCAGGTGTGTTTTTGGTGTAGGAATGGTATTTTGTCAAAATTCTGGGATCTTTAAAAAATGAAATGGTTGCTTTTTTAACATAATAAAAGAAATTTGTTGTGCATTCGGCAAAAAAAAAAAGAAACATAATTGTGCTAAATAGTTCCATGTATCATATGTATTTAAATATTATTATTTTTTTTTGTATTTGTGTAGTTTGTAAGCTCTGTTAGATTTTTGTATGAAAGAGAAAAAACACGTACTATTTAGATTTCTCCGGTTTGAATTCAGACAGAAGCTGCCAAGGCTTAGAAATGACAAGATGTATTTTAAGTCAGAGGAAATTATGTTCATCTGTGCTTCCTGTCTGTTTAGAAGGGAAAAGAACATTATAATGTTCATCCTCAAAAGATCAAGGTCATGGTGTAAAGCTGCCATTTATTTATTTCCTGCACAGTTTGTCTGCATTCGTAATTTGCCGAAAATTAATACCAATTGTTGAATTTTTTTAAGAAACCAAAAATGCTTTTTGTCAGTTAAAGATTCTGGATAAAAAAAAATAATGGCTCCAAAGTGATAAAAATTTAATTCACTGCTTTTTGAGTGGGAAGGAAGATGAATCAGTCGTTGCAGCTCATTTATAACTTTCATATCACTGGTTTTGTTTTTTTGTAGATTTTTTTTTGAAGTGTGAATCCTTTTTTTGTACCCTTTATCCATTAGATGTGTCTTGACATTTGTGAGAAAGTCTTTACAAAAAGGCAGTTGTTATCGCGGGGTTTTCCCCCCTTATTGGCGTGGAGGATTTGTCTTATTTGATATGCAGAATGAAGCCGACTTTATTTAATGCCCAAAACATGCCGTCTGTTTAATTTCCTTGACATCTTCATGAAATGAACCACTTCATGAAAGTGACTGCTGCCAGCAACTAGAGAAGTTAAGTGGTAAATCAAAAGACAAAAGAGACTGGGTTCTTGAGATACCAGCCTCATCTATCTTGCATCCTTAAATTTAAATGTATAACCCATACACTTGTGGTTTAATTAGGTTAAAGTTTACATATTATACGATTTGGCATTTAACTCGAATGTAGAATGTGCACTAGCTAGCTTCTGTTTCGTTTCCAGCTTTGATAGTGGGCAAAAAAGGGATGAGGCCCGGTTCATAGAAAGAAGATATTTAGTTCTTTAACGAAATTTTTTTAAAGAAAAAAATCAGCAAAGCTGAACTAGTTTGACATTGAAAGGTTCAAGTTCTTCCTCAGTTTAATTCAATTAAGGGACCAACATCCTTTGGTTCATTGAGTTTGTTGTAGTTGCGCGGGTTCTATCAGTTACGATGTTCAGGGTTACGTGGTATGATCTTGATAGTTTTATACTGGATAACTACACACCAATGAACAGAATTCTTTCAGTGTAAAGATTTTGAAAGAGCATTGTTAAAGTACAGACCAGAATAAAAGTTGATATGTCATTCAGATACAATGGAAGATTTTTTTCAGCACTATTTGCCTCATCCTCAACATGTTTGTAAATTCTGTTGTACATGCAGCAAGCACATATGAATTGGGGAGGGGGGATGTAGTATGTGTGTGCGTTACCTGTCTACAAAGATTGATGAGAAACACAGATATACGGTCAATGAGATTTATTTTGGTAGAGCTCTTGGAGATAAAATTTGGATTCAAAGAACTCAGATTTATCAGATGTTGATGGACAAGCTGGCGGATGAATGGACCTCTTGGTCAAACTTTGGTTTTACAACTGGTCACTTTGTTGGCTTGTGTTTGTTTTGGTGTTACAATGTTGTAGTGGTCTTAGATGTCCTGCAATCTTTCTTGTAAATTCTATTTAGGAATGTGGGGTACTATAAAAAAAGAGAAGTACATGTGGGTGTATATTAGAGGGAATAATGGACAGAGGAATGTTTGTAAATAATCATCATTTAGGTGATGGAATGGCTTGCAATTAATTACTATATTTAAGAGTTACAAAAATTTGTTTAGAGGAATTTCACATTTCATTTTTTTTTTCATATGTCATTGAACAATCTTGAAAATTTCATTAAAATATTTTCTTATAATTTATTCATATTCATTTGTGTTTCTTTCTTTTATTGTTGAAAAAGTGTTCTCATTTCTCATTTGTGTTTTTTAACTAGGTTCTTACTAATAGTGATTGGGAAATTTCGGTAAGATGTCTGTGTTTTTTATTCATTTCTTAAAAATATATATACATACATGCATATATTACTTGCATCCAAAATGAAGACTTTATCTTTGTGCATGGAAAAGTCTTTCAATGTATCCATGAGATGGCAATGTATGAACATGCAGCCACGAAAAAGGGGGAAAATGTCATTGAAATGATTGTAAGGGGAAAAGTGATGAAAAAGAAAATTCTTAATATGTTCTCTCATGTTTTTTTCACAGCTGCTAATGTGGAATGAATCTTGCAAATGCAAATCTCTAACAACATTCATTATATATCTTTATATGCTGCTTTTTAACTGATGTCCAATCACATTTCAAAATGTAATAAGCAGTTTCTCACATTTCTAACAATGAGCCCAGATTAACATGCATCCTTGTATTGCCCTCTGTTCAGGGCGATATTTCTCTGATGACATTGAGATTATGTTAGTCTGCAACACTATCAAATATGCTGTAAAATTGCTATACATTTTATAGCAGAACCAAGCATAAAGATCATGTAAATGATAGCTGGCAAAAGAAATGCAGTAAATATCGGGATCATTGAAGGTAATTAAGTATTTTGGAATCTGGAAGAATCGAAAAAGAACAAATAGAAAACACCTGGTCCACACGGAAAAAGAGACGTGTACACACTATTGCCAAATGCCTATCTCAGCAAGGAGGGTATTATTGGCAGATATTTCACAGCAGAAAATTAAATTCTCTACTTGGAATTATTATCAATCTACCTATTACAACATTTTGAAATAATTAAGAGTAAATGATTGGACTGGAATCACCTGATGAGTTTATCTATTACGTTAGAGGTGTTACGTAATCTTTGCAATCATTTGTAATCTTTGAAATTGATTGCCTTTGCTGAGTTCTGGCCTGTATTTTTTAAAAATATATGTCATAAGGTCAAAACGTTTCTTTTAATTGTTTTCCTTTGTAAGTTTGATCTAATTGAGTGGTCTCTATAATAAATTTTGATGACATCTTAAATAGAATTTTAAGGTCATTATATACATGTTATAAACATTTTATATCAGTTCATGTTCAAACTTTAAAAAGCAGTAAGGTAGTCCCCTAGTGTGACTGTATATTTGATTTTGGATATAAAACTTAGTGGGAATTTCGTGATAACTTCGCATCAGCACTCTCTTTTTCACCTGATCTTATACGATAGCACTTTTAACCCACATCACAAAGATTTGGACGAGAGATACTCTTCTGATAGGGGAGGGAGAAAAGGTACCAACAAACCTCATTAAATATTTTGACGACAATTACAGATATTCGGGGGGCCCGATTCTGCATTGATACGGAGGCTGACCAGGGAGGCATATAGATACTGCCACCTGGTGGTAGTCTGGTGCCCTGGAAAAAATCAGCCAATCAGAGCCTGGCTTTAAAAGGCCTGCATTTTTGAATTGAAGTGAAATGAAGCTCATCCCTCTTCTAATTGACTGACAGGCACAGAGTTCCCAGCCAAAGCATTTCAACCATTTTACTCAATTTGTAAAATTCAAGGTTTGTGTTTCGTATCTGCTGCCCCTGTGTTATACATAGGAAATTTTTACTGGAAGTCAGTGAAACTTTGTGTAAGTAATTTCCTTTTTTCTTTGGATTAGGTCCCTTTGAAATTTTTGATAAAGTGGAAAAATTTTAATTGTGATGGAAAATTTTGTTAATTATTTCAAGTGTGTTTCACAAAATCAGAATTACCTGAATCAAAGTTGTGAGATAGATTGTCAAGAGTGCAATACAGGATTCTTAAATATAAAAATTCTGTAAAATAAAAGGATTAGGAATATAAGACAATTATAATGATTTTTTTGTGAATTCACTGAAAAAGGTGAGATAATATAACAAAATAAAAAGAGATTGATATTTGAATAATTATAAGAAGAGTAAATTTTGATATTTTTTTTGTGAAGATAATTATAAGAACCATATACAGAACTGCAGATGAAAAAATCACAAACGATGGATCTAGAAATTAAAATAACATGAACCGTCAACTATGGTTGGAGATAAAATCTTTGTGAGCTATCTCTGTAATGATAAATGCAGACTTCTATAATCAAGTCGGGAATCATTTTGATGGCAGATTCATCAGAAGTTTATCAGCTCTGCACATGCATAAAATCACTTAAACCTCCCTAATGAAAGTCACTCGCTTGTGGAACATTCTAGCTGATGTTTCAAACATGGCTTTGCTTTTGGGCACATCTGTCCAAAGATATCATTAAGTCAACTGGAGTTACACTGGTTACATAACAAGATTAAATTAGATACATTGAGAAATTGTATTTTGAAACATCTGTCCCAAAGCAATGCATTAGATTTCATTTCACAGCGCATTATTTAAGGATGAGAAGATTTTTAAGGAGATTCAGTTTTTGAGAGTGTTTGAATGGCTTGTTTTGTAACCCAGACATATACTCACTTTGTTAAAGTACTCTGGATATGAAGTCAATGAGGTTATCTAAATGGGTTGATAATTCTGGAAGTGGGTGTGATTGATGGATGACTTTGGATTTGTAGTTCAATATGACTTGGAGCGCTTGTGTCCCAGGTCATAAAGACCACAGATATACAGGGTTATCTTCTCCTTGCCAGGCATCCTTAAGTATGGTAGTTTATATGGCCATAAAATACAGCGGGAGGCTGCTATTAAATGGCGAGGTGTCTACTGATAACAAATATTTTTGTAATGCTGTCTAGTAATGTTACAGCTATTGCCATATAATTTACCAAATAAACATTTGTGGAAAATGGCTTTTAAAAACACGACAGAAATGAAACCCCCCATCTTACTTCAGAGTATCATTTTCAAAGTTGGTGGTAATGGTGGGGGTAGGGGGTGACAAAGTATAGATTTGTATCAAATTTTTAAAATTCTCTAATTCTTAATTGGTCATTCTTGCAATGCCCTAATTATAACTCAGTAAATAAGAATATCGCTTCATCAATGGCTACGTTTTGGAGTTGTTTACTATGCCTGATTTTTACTGTTTTTTCTGCATTTAGGATCTCACCATGCATTCAGTCTTATCTTTGGAGCACTCTCTTTTCAGACCCTTCATCAGTGAGCCTTTATCTTCTCCTCAAGAATTTTGATAGCTGCAGATACTGAAGTGAAAATTTTCCCCCATTTTCATAATGCTACACCTTTCCCCATCAGAGATAAGACAGCCCTCATCTGCATGGGGAGGAATTCGATCCCCATCTCACTGACGACCCTCGAAACATCTACATTACAATTTCTATTGGTTTGATATATCTTTGGTACATTAAAAGAGAATTATGATTAAGAGTAGAGTTCATAATATTTGATCGGTATCTTGTCTACAAAGGGAGATACACATGCTATCAAAACATTTTTGGCATAATTGGCCCTCTTCATGATCTATGCACCCTTGTTCTTTTTCTGCTCCAATTTCGAACTTCAGAAAATGTTCAGAATCCTAATGATTGTTAAAAATCTCTGTCAAGTCTTAGTCGAGATAACTTTTTAAAAAAGAAACTAGAATAAAGGTGGTCTTTTAAGTTTATCAAGATTTTTTGCAGAATGGGTTCGCATTAAATGGATCACTTGCGTAACATGATTTTCGATAATCCGGTTATCGTGGGATGCTGATTGTGCCCCCTAGTGTTGTGATATGTGATATTCAAGATATCTGCCTTTTGTTCTCGTTTTTACAGAGGTGTGACTCTTTACTACTGTTCAAACATAATTAAAATTTTTTGGTTCTGTTTATTTTGAAGGCTTTAATAGCATCGAAAGGTTTTTATGACTGATAAGTGGGAATTTTTTGTTGCATCTGTTGCATAAGCATTACTTTGTAGATGCAAAAATTAAGGGAAATCGGCAAAAAATGAAAGAATATATCTGTTAATGTTCTTTACATGTTTCTTACATTGATTAACAGATTCAAGGTGAATCTATATATTGTATATTCCGTACAATAAAATTATTTTGAAAAAAAGAGAGAAAGCATTTATACACCCATTGCTTTCGGATGCATGTGCGGCCATCATCCACAAATGAAGCTTGTCAGTGGATGTTAATTTAGAGCCTGTTGAGTATATATGTCTAAGGAGATCTGTTTTGGATCTGTAATTTATAACCTTCAGTTTTAGCATTTAGATCTGTTTGATTTCACAACCTTGAGTTTTCGGCTCTTTCTGTGAAACACCGATCGAGCTTTTAGACCAGTTAGTTATAGCCTAGGTTGCAAACATTACCAGGTGTGATATATGTTGTGTGAAGCAGTTAAATTACGAGTTATATACGTAGATGGTACTGATATGATCGTTTTGGCATTCTAGGTAGTCTTTTTAACAAACTGCTTTTATTTTTCAGCAGATCTAATACTTTGTATATGTATATACGCTATGATTCTGACATCACGTTTTGATCGCTTATTTCACTTTGATAGTCTGGCAGTATGAATGTTAGAAACTGTAGATCAAAAGTGTTTTTTTTTCAAAGTTTAGAAAACATACCATGAATGCAATATTTTCTTTTATCACCAAGTAGTTTCCAATATGCAACTTTACCTTTGAAAAAGTTTTAAATATGGCAAAATCTATCCAACAAATCTACATCGATTAAAGTTTCTAATATTAGGACATTTTTGACAAAGAATATTTTTGGTTAAAGATTTCCCAATTTAAAACAAATCAAATGTTTCAAAAATTTAATTTTGTGGAGATCCCCTCAGATAATAGATTTGCTAGGGATTTTTTTTTTTTTTGGGGGGGGGGGGATGGGAGCTTCAAAAGTATTGTGTCTATTGTACTGCCAGACTGCATGTTACTATTGCATGTGTTTGTTGACTTGGCCTTTCTTTGTTATTTAGGCTGTAAGTCCTGAGGAGTATGAAAAATACCTGGAGGATCAGGTAAGTTCTAACCAACACTAACAATGTCGGAAAAATCAGCTGACTAAAATATAACCTGAGATTAGCAACTGTGAGATGAAAGCATGAAATATTGAAGTTTCTTTCTTGAAATTGATCTTGAAAATGTATTAAAATTTTTCTAGAGAAATAGATTGTGATGTGTAATAGCATGTGTTTTTGCATGTTTGACTTCCTTAAAAGGGAGGTAATCCAGGCATTAATTGTAAGGTGTACAGAAGAGTTATCTTCCTTGTTGATAGGTTGGTGCCACTGAGGATTTGATTTCCCCCGACACTGTCGACGCAGTACATGCTGGTGCCCCAGGGGCAGGGCTGTTCCAACCAGTTGACATCCGTATCCCTGTCGGACCTATCTTCAACTTCGTCTCTGGTTAGTCATTTGAATTATTCTCAAAGGGGGGGGGGTAGGAGTCATTGAATATGAGTAAGGGAAGTAAAGTTTTAGTTTAGAAGCAGAAATACATAAATTTAATTTGAAGTAAATGGATGTACATGAAACAACTTTAAATTTTCTCAATATTATGGAAAGTTGTGTTATTCATTATTTGAAAGAAAAGTAAAGCATTTAGTACTTTATGTATTAAGAATGGATGAAAGGAAACTGCTTATAGCACATGTCTTGTTATATTGTTTGCAGCTTATGTAGTCATGCCCTCTGGAAAGAAGGCGTACCCCAAAATCCAGGACAACAAAGATGGAACTGTTACTGTTAGATACCAGCCCACGGAAACTGGACTTCACGAACTCTTCGTCAAATACAACAATGATGATATTGAAGGTAAAGGTCAAATATATTGATGATTATAATGAAGGTCAAGGTCAAATACAGCAATGGTTATGTTGAAGGTCAAGGACAATATGAAATTATATTGAAGGTAAAGGTCAAATATATCAAATGAATATAATGAAAGTTTATAGGTCAAATACAATGATGTTGAATTCCAAAGTCAAATACACCAATGACTATATTGAAGATAAAGGTCAAATATAACAATAATTATATGGAATAAAAAAAGTCGAGACTTTAAAAGGCAAAGAGGATAGGGGACATAAGAATGGCAAATCTGAATACATGTATTACCATAAGTTTAATTGTAACAGAATTCTTTGGGGTAAAATAATGATAATTTTATTCATAAAAATTTGAATTGATGTATTGTATTTTATAAGGTAATTTAAGAGTCTACTTTGTGTTTATAACTGAAATGGAAATGCATAAGATTAACAATTCAGAATGAAATGATTAAGGGATAGATGAGATAGGGTATAGGTGTAAGTTGCTTATACAATTAACACATTCACTATCAGATGAAATATTTCACCTTCAGGGATAGATCAGGAGCAATTGATAGATTAACCAGATACCAGATTAGGATTCCCCAGAATTTATTCATTTCCCTTCATTGCCCGTTATCTCAAAAATAACTCATGGCCGCTGGTTAACTAGAGATACACAGATAGAAAGTTGGTGTTGCCAAATATCAGAAACAGATAAAGTTATAAGAACTATTCAATAATTACTGTGGTTGTGTGAGTTTGGGGGGTAATGGAGTCTAGGAGAAGAAAACAGAGATTTAGTTTTACACTGGATCATTTACCAGGTTCAATATCTTCAGCAATGTTTTATTTGTATTGAGTGAAATTTTCTTCGTCTTTTTGGACAGCTGTTGTGAAACTTTTTTGGATATGTGAAAAATGTGAAACCCAACTTTCATGATATTTTCATTGGCTAATTTGCAAAATGGTTGAATTTTGTGGGAAGAAAAAGTGTGACCCATCTTCCTCCCTTGAATTGTTCTCGACAGAAAAGTTTGCCCCTTGATAGATTGTTGTTATGTTTTCTGATCGACGCATTTTTTAATGACCATGACCTTGAAAGTTTATTTTAATTGTGTTCACAGGAAGTCCATTCAAATTCCATGTGGATGCCGTCAACAGTGGTCATGTGACTGCCTATGGACCAGGTCTGTGTCATGGAATCGTCAACGAGCCCGCAGAATTCACCATCGTCACCAAAGACGCAGGTGCAGGTACGAAAATAAGATAGGCGGTAGTCATAGCAACCGTGTATAGCAAATTTTAATTTATAAATTCATAAATGCCTGAAAAATTTCAAATGCAAAATTACCTTGAAATAAAGTTTTTTTGGGAGAAAAATTGATTTTACTGCTGTTAATTTCAGTGATTATGTAATTTGCATGAGAAAAGGCAGATTTTTCTTTGTAATCGTCTTGACATTTCTAAGTATTGCCCTACAGCATGCAACTGATAAGGATGTAGGTGTATTTGGGTATTACATTGTTTTTATTGCAATCTTTGAGGAAGAAAACAGCTTTACTGAAATCTCTTATTATAAATGGAATAAACAAAGGAAAACGTGTAAATATAGTTGTAACTTAGGTGTTAATTATGTTTTGAAGATTCTGCTATAATCAATTTTTCATTGACTTGGTATTTATAAAACCAAATTTTTGTGAGAATTTGCTTACATTGGAAGAATGGGAACTTTTCAATTTTAGAAAATTCAGTAAATGAACAGCAATTTTTTAACACTGTTGATAGTGAAAAGGATGTTGAGAGCTATTTTCATGACTTGTTAGGTGGACTTTCGTTGGCCATTGAGGGTCCTTCTAAGACGGAAATTAAATGTGTGGACAATGGTGACGGGACCTGCACGGTCAGTTATATCCCCACCGCTCCAGGAGAATACAACATCACCGTCAAGTTCGCTGACAACCACATCTCGGGATCACCCTTCACTGCCAAGATCAGCCGTAAGTTTCATATAGAATCTTGCCAATTCAGAATTTGAAGAGTGAAAACTTTAGTACAAAAAACATTATCGTTTGACATCTTTTTTTTCAAGGGGTTTCTTGTCTATACTTGATAGAAAATGGATTCGGGGAAGATTTTCACTTCATTAACATTTAGTTTTGAATTTTTTTTTCTAACAGTTCTTCATTTAGTTTTCTTTTCATGTGTAAACCACAAATTAAAAATCACTAAAGAGCAAGTGTACATTGATTTTTAATTAGCATTTATGAGTTGTGTAAACTTGTTTACTTGTACATTTGGGCCTTGACATTTTGCGGAAATATCAATTATCACCTTGCGTTATCTCCCTTTGATAGCCACGGCTGGAGAACCACGAAGGAAGGCTCAAATCGGACGCAGCAGCGAGGTGTCACTAAAGGTCATGGAGCAAGACATCAACAATCTGACCGCCAGCATCCGGTCACCCTCCGGCCGCGAAGAGCCCTGTCTGCTCAAACGACTGGCCAATGGACATCTGGGTAAGGAAATACTGCTGCACGATTCAGGTGTAAATTACTGTAAAATTCATGTCTTTGAAAGGACAAATGAGTAGATGCATGTAACAGCGTAAAATGTTTTCAAATATTAAGCTCATTAATGGTGTAAAATTGGTTGGTAATTTGCAAATAGGAAATTCATTTCAAAAAGGTTAATAAATATGACCTTTGTATTGATTGGAAAAATTCATGGATGCATTGAAGAAAAAGATGTGCTTAATTTCAAGGAATGGGTTTTCAAGTTTGGATTTAAAAAAAACCTACTTATATCAACATTTTCTATTAAAGGAATATCCTTCACTCCACGTGAGGTTGGTGAACACTTGGTTAACGTCTTCAGAAACGGCCAGCATATTAATGGCAGCCCCTTCAAGATCATCGTGGGTGAAAGCGAACTCGGAAACGCCAGCAAGGTCCGCGTGGCTGGACAGGGATTACAGAATGGCATGGCTAACGAGATCAACGAATTCATGGTGGACACCAGAGATGCAGGTATATAATGGGGCTATTTTCTGGGTCTTGTACAGGTAAAAAAATCTCTTTAGCAGAAGAAAATCTTCAATGTTACAGTAAAGGGCTGTTTTCTAACTTGATTGCATTAAAATATCATTTACGTGTTTGCTCAGTTATGAATAAGCATTTATTCCACATCTACAATTATCACTTAAATTAATTCACAATCTTGCCATGATCAGTACATTAACACATTAAAAATCAGAACCATTCCTTAAGTAAGCTCACATACGGTATTTTTAATGTAATGTTGATTTTGTTTATCTTTTTTAATTAACTTCGATAGTAACACTGAGAATGTTATTATTTATGTAAATTGGTTAGTAACGGTTTACTTTCTGACAGGTTACGGCGGTCTGAGTCTGTCCATTGAGGGACCCAGTAAGGCCGACATTGAATGTCTGGACAATGAGGATGGGTCGTGTCGCGTGACCTACAAACCCACCGAGCCCGGCAACTACATCATCAACATCAAGTTCTCCGACGAACATGTGCCAGGTGAGAGATTTATATAGGGCCATGCTGGGAAAAGAAGGGGGTTAGATAGGATGTGACTGCTTCAGAGAAAGATTATAAAATTGTTTATTAATAATATTGAATGATTAATTTGTGGGAGTAAATGTTATTCTGAATGAATGGAGGTCAAGTTTTCCATATTTTCCTGTTATGACCAACTTCAGATTTAATATAATGTCTGAGTTGTACAATTCAGTCACTTATTAGGTTTGTTGACTTTAAAGTCAGATTTACCATATGTTATTTTTAAAATGCCATTTAACCAGACATTAAGAATATTTTGCCCTTATTTGGTAGTTAATTCAGAAGTTCATAACTGTCTCATTTACATTTATTTGTTTTGTATGTTCATTCAGAAATGTCTATGTGACATTTTACCTGTTTTCCTACAGGTTCTCCCTTCAATGTGAACGTTGGTGGTGAGCCCTCGTCCAGAATGACGGAGAGAATAACTCGTCACCGCGAGGCAGCAGATATAACTCACATCGGCAGTCAGTGTGAACTCAGTCTCAAGATTCCAGGTCAGTGTTTAAGTATACTCACAGAGATAGACTCTAATCAATCAGTGTGTGAGTTACATCTCGAGTATTCGTCACGAGATAGACTCTGATGAATGTATCTCACATTTTAGGTCCAATATGCTGAATTTAGCTTGAGTATTGCTCACAAAGATAAACTTTAACATGTGTAAAGAATATCACTCATGCAAGATTCTAAGGTTATTACATCCAAAGGAAGTTCTAATAAGTCTCTCATATAGATGTAGCTTCAACTTTCTAAGTCAGTCCTAAAGGTATTCATTGCATTGATGAATGTCACATTTAACCCTTCAGATTCTGAGTTTTTGAGTCTCATGATTCTGGGTTACAGTTTTAGTACGATTAATCAAAGATGAATTTAAGTGGACATCTCTTAGAAGCCTCTGTTTTAAAGATTAGTGTTGAATGGAATGATTGGCTCAATTGAGTCACATAAGCGTGGGATTTTGGAGTCATATATAGACTGAGGTGGACGCAAATGAGTATCAGTTATCAAGTTAGACCCAAACAAAATAGAAAAGATATTGAATGAGGATGTTATTTTTCTGTCAGCATAAAGTGACTGGGGGCAAATTGATGAAGAACAGAGCTGCCAACCCTTACGATTTTGGCGTAAGTCTTACGAAATTAATGTCCAAAATACGCCTTACGATTTCTCTCTATATTTTTCCGATTTCGGTCTTTCACGATAAAGTTTATAATACTGGAATAATCATAACTGTCCGTCTGCAGTTTCTACTATTATGATTAAATATTCATAATCCTGGCTTACAATGCTTGCTTGTATCGTCGTTTCGATTTCATTCATGTCAATATTTTAAAGTAAACAAAATGGAAACGTGCCTCAAATTGCTCCGATTGCACGTCCATTTACAGAACATCTTCAGCGTCAGTGGGCCTAGGCGGTCCCCGGACAAAGCCTTACTATTTTTCATTTCAGAATGTTGGCAGCTCTGGAAGAAGTGTTTATGGGGAACAAAAAAAAAGTATACGTCAACACAACAAGATTTACTGACAAATTATTTATTGAGAGGAATACACACAAAAACAGCTTTTGGCAATACATCTATCTATTTTGTAAGGAGTTTCTACTAACTGCTAAGCTCTGGGTTCATATTTGAAATTCATTTACCATTAATAAAAGTTGTGTTTGGATTCTTGTCTAACAACATGGATTTTTTGAAAGTTTTAGACTGTAATAAATTATTGCCAGAAAAAAAAGCTGAATGATTTCAAAGTAATTTTGGGAGATATAAACTGTCAATTCACAGCAAATCTTGTGATTGCTGGTTTTATTAGCTCTACTGGTCAGAGACCAGAAGAGCTTATGCGATAGTAATGCGTCCGGCGTCCGTCCGTCTGTCCGTCTGTCTGTAAACAATTTTTCAAAACGCCACTCCTCCTACAATTTTAGTCTGATTTCAATATTACTTGGCACACAAGTAGACTACACTAAGATACATAGAATAGTGCATCGGTTTTTGATTTCAATGAACATTGTTACCATGGTTACTAAAAATAGAATTTTCTGTGAAATTCCTTTAAAACGCTACTCCTTCTACAGTTTTGGTCTGATTTCAAAATAAGTTGGCACAAAAGTAGACTACACTAAGATACATAGAATAGTGCATTGGTTTTTGATTTCGATGAACGGTGTTGCCATGGTTACTAAAAATAGAATTTTCTGTGAAATTCCTTTAAAACTCTACTCCTTCTACAGTTTTGGTCTGATTTCAATATAACTTGGTACACAAGTAGACTACACTAGGATACATAGAATAGTGCATTGGTTTTTGATTTCGATGAACGGTGTTGCCATGGTTACAAAAAATAGAATTTTCTGTGAAATTCCTTTAAAACACTACTCCTTCTACAGTTTTGGTCTGATTTCAATATAACTTGGCACACAAGTAGACTACACTAAGATACATAGAATAGTGCATCGGTTTTTGATTTCGGTGAACGGTGTTGCCATGGTTACTAAAAATAGAATTCTCTTTGAAATTCCTTTAAAACACTATTCCTTCTACAGTTTTGGTCTGATTTCAAAATAAGTTGGCACACAAGTAGACTACACAAAGATACATAAAATAGTGCAATGGTTTTTGATAAGTACAAACCAGTAGAGCTACAGTCTCGACAGAGACTTCTAGTTTACACATTATTTTGCACATAAAACGGTGGCATCAAAACTAATGAAGAACTCATAGATGTTAATCAACAGTTTATTGAAAACATTTCTTGTTAAGTCTCCTGTTTACATTGGGTTCAAAATTGAGTAAGAAGTTTGTATAAAGCTGAGAAGTGAGATTTCATAAACAGCAATTAAGAGTGAATTAAGGAGGCTCATCAGGAAATAACAGTAAATGACTGTAGAGTTCCGCTCGCTCCCTGCAGGGGAAGCAGACGCGATCCCGACTGATATTTCTGTCTGCTCGTTCTGATCTCCCTGTAGGATGCACAACACGAGAAGTTGGCAGACGATCAGAAGCAAGGCTCCCCTCGCTGGATTGACTTTTATTTTCTCTGCATTCCACAAATGTCTGAAGTGTGTGTGTAGACTTTGATGCCATTGCTGATGCTCATACAAGAGCCTGTTAATCTAGATTGAAAATCTTTAATGTGTCTTGTAAAGTACTTCTACAGATTGATTGCCTTTTCATCTCCATGATAATTTTTCTTATATATCTCATATGAAGTTGTTATTTTAATATAAATCGCCATCATTAAGGAGATGTACTGCTCTACCTATATTTAGATGCACTATTTAAATTATCTATTTTTAGTCGCATTCTTTGCAAGATGCGCTCAATACCAAGAGGAAACTCAAATTCAAACGACAACAGGTATAGCTTGTTGCCATGGTGAGGTTTGTTGTGGTTACCATGGCGATGTTTGTTGGAGTTTTTCCCTCCTCTAAGCACACCCTAGATACTACTCAAAAAAAAAAGGAAAAAATAATTTTTTTCTCAAGCTGCAAATATGTGAAGCAAAATTTGATTTTGCATATTAAATTGACAAGCAGCAAAAATGTTCCCAGAAACCGTTTTGAACCAAGCACTGGAAAAAAAATTGTACATTTGAAACCCATATACATTTTCCACATGAAACCCTTTTTGTTTTGCCTATTTCAAGAAAGAAACATTGCCCTCCAACTTTTAGTTTAGTTTAGTTTTGATCCTCCTATTTTAGCAATCCTAGGTGTGATTTTTTGTACCTTTTAATTAGTTCAGGTGTGACTTTCTGAAATTGTTTTCCCTTCCATGTTGTTGATGAAATTCAAATTTACAATGAATTTATTAAGCAGTTGAGCAAATTTCATTCTTAAGCAATATCAGGCCATTTATTTGTTTTGATGTTTCCATAGGAACCAGTCCTTTCGACATGACTGCCTCGGTGACCAGCCCCTCCGGCGTGACTGAGTTGTGTGACATTGTCAGTCTCGACGACAACCATTACAGCATTAAGTTTGTTCCCAAGGAGATGGGCGTCCACACAGTCAGTGTCAAACACAAGGACATGCACATCCCAGGTAGGTCAAAGGTCAAGGTCACACAACACTGTGAACTTATTGATATAATGATAGAAATTAAAATGAGGAGTGATGAAAGAAATATATGATTAGCAGTGCTTACTATTAACTTTATACAAGTAGATATTTTATGGAGGTGTCTTTTCTAGTACTGTAAATGTATTATATTGGCTGTGTATTCTTTTTAGCGCTTTTGGCAGAGAGGAACTTCAGCTAATTCAAGTACAATGCAAAATGTCTTGCACATATGCACATAAATAGGAACCCTGAGAAATGCGCTAATTAAATCAAATCTACGCTAACTTGTTCAAAAATCAAATATTGTGCACGCTAAAAATAATACATTTACAGTAATAGACTCAGCTCATGTAAAATTTGTCCCTAACATGAGGGGAAAACCTTATTCTAGAAATCAATTTTTCATGACTTCATTGTAAAACAACAAAAGTTTATTTCCCAGAAAAGGGAAGTTCATTTGAGAGGTTTCACTTTATAATGTTAGATTCAGCTTAATATGCACAATTTTTTTTTTCTACAAACTTGATAATATCTTGCAGGAAAAACATTTCAGATATCTATAGATCTTTCATGACTTCAATGTGAAACAACAAATAGTAATTAACTTTCCCTGATGTTTACAGGAAGTCCCTTTGAGTTCACCGTGGGTCCCATCACAGGAGGTGGATCACACAAGGTCCACGCCGCAGGTCCAGGTCTAGAGAAAGGAGAAATCAACCAACCATGTAAGTATTTTAAGCTTTGGTGGATCCAAGATTTTTTGGGTGTGGGGGATTTATATAAAAAATGTCTGTGAATGAAAATGCTATCTGTAATGTCATATCGATCAAGAATTGAAGAAAAGAAAAATGCAGTCACACTTTATTTTTCTCACATGGAATTTTTTTTTCTTCAAAATTTTGATTAAAAAAAAAATTTCTCTATTTCCAGGTGAGTTCAACATCTACACACGAGAGGCCGGTGCTGGGGGTCTGTCCATAGCCGTGGAGGGTCCCTCCAAAGCCGAGCTGGACTTCGATGACCGCAAGGATGGGTCATGTGGTGTCAAATACGTGGTCACTGAGCCGGGAGAGTACCTAGTCTCCGTTAAATTTAATGATGAACACATCCCGGAGTCCCCCTTCAAGGTCTACATCACTCCCAGTATCGGGGACGCCAGAAAACTGTCTGTGGCAGCACTGCAACAAAAGGGACTGCAGGTAATTAATAATATGGATAACATGTTATATTTCTAAGAGTTCTTAACGTTGAATTCTGGAATTTTGATTTAAAATTAAAAAATAAACCATGCTGGGATGAGTTTTTAAGAAAAGTACATTTTTTTTTGGCCAATTTGCCATTGTAGTACATTGAACATCATTAGAAAAATTGAATCTTTAAACACAACTCTGATCTAAAAAAAAATCTGCATTTGGTATAAGTACTGCTATTGTGAGATGATAAATGCTAGGTATTTATTAGGAGTTCAGGAATTAATACTAATTTCTGTTTTAGGTTGGAAAACCAGCAGCCTTTGTTGTCAACTTCAATGGTGCTGCCAAGGGTAAACTCCGAGCCAGAGTTATCTCCCCATCAGGAACTGAAGAAGAGGCTCTCATCCAGGAAATAGATGATGGTAAGGGTTATCTCCCTTTCATTAAATTTTTGTGATTTACCTGCAAATTCACAAACAATTTGCAGTTAGTTTAATTTCTTTTGAAATAATGATCAGTGATATAATAATTGATTTTTCTGTCTTTTCAGGAGGGTATGTAGTCAGTTTCATAATGATCAGTCATATAATACTTGGATTTTTATTTTTTTCAGGAGAGTATGCAGTTAGGTTCATCCCCCGAGAGAATGGAGTCCACAATGTGTTTGTGACGTTTGATGGATGTGACATCCCAGACAGTCCATTCAGAGTGCTGGTCGGTAAAGTAGACGCTGATCCAGGCATGGTTACAGCATCGGGAGACGGACTCCGCACCGGTCAGACAGGTGAGAGGGGTGTGACCAACTTCCTTAAGGGAGGGGTATAGAAAATGAAAAAAAAAAAATTTCTTGTTAAGTCTCTGGCCTCAATTCTAGTACAATATAGTAAAATGTAAAAAAAAAAAAAAAATTATTGAACTTGATAAAAATTTTATAAAATTATTATCGTCTTTTTCAGGTCAGACATGTAAGTTTGTTGTCAACACCTGTAACGCTGGAGCTGGTGCCCTAGCGGTCACCGTTGAGGGTCCCTCCAAGGTCAAACTGGAGTGTAAGGAGGTGGACGAGGGCTACGAGTTCACCTACAGCCCCACCGCCCCCGGTGACTACATGATCGGGATCCGATACGCTGGCGTCAACATCGCCGGCAGTCCATTCAAAGCCAAGATTGAAGGTAAGGGTTCAGAGGGAACGAAGGATTGGGGAGAAATTTTTTGTATTGCACATTGATCTTATACTCTATTGTGATGAAATACAGTAAATATTTTTTTTCTTGAGCAAGGAAAAGTATCTACAAAGTTCTTGACCTTCTTTACTCAGGAATATTTCTCACTCAAAAAGCATTTATCTAATAATATTTTAAAAATGTTATCCCAGTAAAACAAACACTAGTCATTGATAGATTTCAAATTAGAAAATCATGAATTAGAAAATGCAAACAATAGTTTATGTATAGTAATTTGTTGGGTTTTTGCTCCTTAATTCAATGATACAAATGTAGATTTTGAGAGAAAGTTCATTGATGATGTTACAGGTCCAGGCAAACCCAGTGGTTATCATGAACAGGCATCTGTTGTCGTGGAAACAGTCACAAAGACCAGTGTAATGAGTAAGTTCAGCGGACTTCAGAAGTTCCAGTCGGATGCCAGTCGGTGTACAGCGGAGGGAATGGGTCTGAAGAAAGCATTCAGAGGAAAACAAGCCACATTCAGTGTGGACACTTCACAAGCCGGTGAGTACTACTCAGATATTGAGCAAGTTTTCAGCTTTGAAAGCCTTTGAGTACTACTCAGATATTAAGTGAGATTTAGGCTTCACAAGCTGATGAGTACTACTCAGACATTAAGTGAGTTTTAGGCTTCACAAGCTGATGAGTACTACTCAGATATTGAGTGAGTTTTAGGCTTCTCAGGCTTTGAGTAGTTTTTCATTATTTAAACGAGATTCAAATGCAGAAACCTACAGGTACAGATTCCTTGTAAAGTACAGTAAAACTTGTCTACTCCTGATGTTGTGTGATCTGAATTCTTGTCTAATATGGTTTCAACTTTAAGTCCTAGCTTAAATCTTACTATGCATACAAAGTTTTAGGTCAGCTTATGTAAAGAGGTTAGGCAATCGAAGTTAAGTTTTCATCCTTTTCATGTGGAAAATCATTTAGAGATTTTTTACGAACAAATTTATCAAAACAACTCTTATTGATGATGTTTTTTTCTGTTCCAGGTAATAACATGATGTTTGTTGGAATGATGGGCCCTAAGGGACCGTGTGAAGAATTGTGTGTCAAAAACCAAGGAGGCTACGTATACAAAATTAACTATATTGTCCGCGAGCGCGGAGATTACATGCTGGTCGTGAAGTGGGGAGACCAACAAATCCCAGGCAGTCCGTTCTGTGTACACGTCGATTAAAAGTGTGTCTGGATTTTATTTTAGGTTTTTTTCAAATTACGTGTGGCATAAAGTAATATATATTATATTTTCATTCATTCATCTATTGATGAACATCGTTATATCATGTGACAGTAACATTTTTTTTTTTCATACCAAGTGTTCTAAGATCTGATAGCCACTGGAACAAGTTCTTATTTCAAATTGGTGCTGCTAGAATTATAATAATTATCGTTTTTTTAAATGGAATCATTTTTTTCCCTAGGGGCTATATTTTATTACAGTTGAAACTCAAATTATGCAAGTTTATAGATAGGTAGACAGATTTTTTTTTTTTAGTGTGCTGTGCACTATATCTGGTATGTATGTGAGATGACAAAATGTACTTAATACCCGAGTTTGATAAATGATGAATTTTTTCCAGCATGCTTTATATATTTTACACTTATTCATTATGCTTGTCCATATCAAATGCTCAATACTTTTTTCATAATAAAGTCTGAAATCGATCAATTTCAAAGTGATATTTTTAGGAATCGAGGGCATTGTAAGGGTTTATTAATGTGAGGTGCATTAATTGTGCTATGTACCCATCTTGCCATTGACTTATATAATTATCTACAAATGACACAGCATTTAGTTTACAGACATAACATTGTTTAAGAACTTGTGTCATTGTCTGGTATTAGAGAGAAAAAAAGGAATCATTGACCTTACTTTTTTAGTGGACAAAAATTGTGCTTCCCTATGTATTATATTCTTAAATAAAGAATGGTTGAGTTTTGTACGTTGAGTAAATGTATATAATTATATATGAATTAATTAATTAAAAGTTATTGCTTTATTTTCATGATATTTGTATATGAACTTTCAGTGTTTACTAATGCAATAATATGTGTTTTTGATGGATTGTTATTCATATTCGTTATGTGCAATGACAATATTGCAAAGCAAGAAAAAAAATTTCCCCTTCTTTATTTTATTGTTTTATTAATTTCCATAGGTGTACTTTTATCGATGTTTTGTTATTGAAATATACATATATATTTAAAACAATCTATTAAGTCTTGAATATGCAGCCTCTTTGTTTAGTTTATAAGTAAATAGATTTTGTTCCAGCAAGATCATATAGATTCTACAAATTGTACTAGTTTATTTTGATACAGATTTACACTAAACAATAGTGGTTTAAAATATATACATGGCATTCTGCAAAGGGTATGTATTTTTTAATCATGCATTTTTCACGTATAGTTAGGCTTAGCCCTACCCCCTTTGCTTTTTTGACATACCTGTATGGTCAGAGTTAACTGCCCTTTACACTTTTGATTACCACTAGATGTCGCATGTCTTGTATGAGAAAAGATTCTATTATGTTGCTACTGTTAATGTATGCTGATTTATAAAAATAAAACTATGAAAAAACGTCATGCATGTTGGTTTTAATATTTTTCAACTTATGGAATATGAGAAATTACATATTGAGTTCATTTAGAAAATCACCCTATATATTTAAGAAAATTTAATATTCAAAGATAATAATTTTTAGACTCTAAGGGCAAGGATTTCGTTTTGTTTTTGAAAAGGGGGAGTACGAACTGAAAATAAAATTGGCAACTTACCCCCCCCCCCCCCCCACAAAAAAAAAACTGACACAAGCAAAAAAAATGGATGTTAATTGGTTCCAACTTACTTTACAAACAGTATTTTTAATTTTTAGCTCACCTGAGCCAAAGGCTCAAGTGAGCTTTTCTGATCAAAATTTGTCCGTTGTCTGTCGTTGTCGTCGTTGTTGTCGTTAACTTTTCACATTTTCATCTTCTTCTCAGGAACCACTGGGCCAATTTCAACCAAACTTGCTACAAAGTATTCTTGGGTAAAGGGGATTCAAGTTTGTTCAAATGAAGGGCCATGCCCTTTTCCAAGGGGAGATAATTATGAATTAGAGAAAAATTAATGGCATTTTTAAAAAGTCTTCTTCTCAAGAACCACTGGGCCAGGAAAGATGAAACTCATGTGGAATCATCCTCAGGTAGTGTAGATTCAAGTTTTTTCAAATCATGACCTCCCGGGGGTAGGGTGGGGCCAAAATGGCTGATCAAAGTTTTACATAGGAATATATAGGAAAAATCTTTAAAAATCTTCTTCTCAAGAACCTCTAGGCCAGGAAAGATGAAACTCATATGGAATCATCCTCAGGTAGTGTAGATTCAAGTTTGTTCAAATCATGACCCCCGGGGGTAGGGAGGGGGCCAAAATGGCCAATCAAAGTTTTACATAGGAATATATAGGAAAAATCTTTAAAAATCTTCTTCTCAAGAACCTCTGGGCCAGGAAAGATGAAACTCATGTGGAATCATCCTCAGGTAGTGTAGATTCAAATTTTTTCAAATCATGACCCCCGGGGGTAGGGTGGGCCAAAATGGCCGATCAAAGTTTTATATAGGAATATATAGGAAAGCATCTTAAAATCCTCTGTTCAAGTACTTCAAATCGATGCTTAGTGATATTTATATGGAATCATCCTTAGGCAGTGTAGATTCAAGTTTGTTCAAACCATGACCCCCTGGGAGGTTAAATATCTGTGCTTTTTCCTTGCAAATTGCTCAGGTGAGCGATGTGGCCCCTGGACCTCTTGTTAATACATACCAAATGACTATGCTACAACAAAAAGGGGCGAGACAAGCAGACTTTCAATGAACATTTTCAAATGATGAGCTTGGAAAAAAGGTGAGGAGAATTCCCCAAGAAGCGACATACTTGAGAGAGAGAGAAGGGCAGAATTTTAAGTTTAAGAGGGTGCTATCTACACCTAGACGTGGCTGATATATCTTCTGACTGTATAGATTAACTAATTTAAGTCAAGACACTTTCAAAAAAAAAAGAAAAGAAAGAGAGTAAGCTTAAAAAGTACATGTATATCATGTGTTTCATATAAACAGTAAACTCGGTTTAAAGAGCCCGGTCACAAGGAAATCTCCATTATAAGGAATATTTTACTAATCTCCAGACGCCTTTCACCGTTTTCTTAAAGCTGAACACGATTCATCAAAAGAATGCACCCGCCATTTTCGATCGGACTCTCACTATATTTGAGGACCCCTATATAAAGGGCCTGACTTAACCACTGTTCAGAGTAATTAGTCGACGCCGATGTAGACGAACGTATGTTATACAGCACTCGGTAGGGACAACAATAACTGAAATATTTCTTCTAAAGCAGAAAAGTAAAATACCAAAGAAACAGTAGTTGTACAGATCAGTGCAGTATATAAACACAAATACATGTACAAGTAACTGCAATAAAATGTAAACAAAGATATTACAAGAAAGCCAGCACGAACGCAAGTGGCCGTTTCACGCCGATTCCTGTGACAATAAAGCAGTCAGGTGTAACGAATGCGAAGAGTATACCCTGGTGTTGATATAGTAGACAACATTGTCGAATATGGCGTAAGCCTATTAACGGACTGTGTTCAGCTTTAATGTAATAAATTCAGTCCCAGTGACCATTCTTATCGAGTGTTTCTCTATTTTCTGTATTTCTTTTGTGAAATGAGTAATTGATATATAATGATACTCATATTGGCAATGAAACACTCTTTTACTTTTTATAGATTTATTGGTTTAAGTGAAGCTAAATCGTAACCCTTGGGTTAGGTTGTTTTCGAATATATGGTTAAAATTTTCTTCTTAATAAGAAGACATTTAGGAAAACCCTTTTTTGCAATATCTTCCTCTAAGAAATATCTCGGTTAATGTGACTCAAGTGAGCGTTGTGGCCCACAGGCCTCCCTCATTCTTCAGCAAAATTATAGAAGTCGGGGGGGGGGGGGGCTACACCAACTGAAACTAGAGGTACTGTGAGCAATGGGCTCACTAAATGATACCCCCCGCCTCCCATATGTGTGTGAATGGCAGTGTCCATGTTTTGCTGTGGGAAACCCAAAATATATGTTGGATCAAAAAGTAAAATAGGAGGTGCACAATGGCAATATGTAATAAAGATTCTTTGAAAGTTTCATTAAATTTCATTCAGTGATATAAGAGGAGTTGCGGATAAGAGATGGGTACCCCAAAGCGTAACAGACGGACGGACAGGAATTAACGATTACTATATACCCTCCCGCTTTTCAAGCGGGGGGTATAAAAATGTATAGGGACAAAGCCTCAAGCCTTAAACAACCCCCCTACCCCCCCCCCCCCCCATTCCGACGCCTATATCTTTTCCTATTGTTGTGTACAAAATTTACTGAAAATGAACATCAGCTTAATCAAAATGGAGTCCCTTTTGAGAAACCGAATTTCATACAACTTTTTATCTGTTTTTTTTTTTAATTATTTATATATCCAGCACCAGTTAAAAAATGTTGGATCCCAATCGGAAACCCGTGTGGCGCATAAGAAGATTGAACGCGACGTCAACAGTTCACCTTAATCCTTCCTTCCTTCCTCTTTCGTTTTAAAATGCTGCACATTTCTGACTAATCAGTAAACAAGAAAAAAATCGAACAAGGTAAGCATAAATGATAAGATGCCTACAGATTTATCAAATTCAAGAAATGATTTCCTTTAATGATGCTTTATAACTTTAGCTTGGTCAAAAAAGGTGTTTCGGGACATAATTTGTAGGAAAATAAGATGAAAAACCATATTTTGAACTGTCATCTTCAAAAAAATTAAGAAAATTAGTCATGAATATGGGAGTTTTTTCCAAATCACACAAACAAAATGTATCCAGATTGCCTACAGTCTTTCGGAAAACGGTAATTTGTATGTTCTTGGTCTCTTCTTTTAAATAATGTTAAATTTAATATCGGGATCGGGACTACTTTTCATGTAATTTCAGATTGAATACCATGAAAATACTTTATTTTCTAAATAATTCTGTTAGAGTCGTAAAATATTGGAAAAAGAAAATTGAAAGTGATTATGACGTCATAATGGATCTAGCACCAAAAAGTCAGTCTAAGGACGTTTACTAGATCTTGACCTTAAAGGCTTCTAGCACATTTTCTGTTCTTCATTATTTTTCTCGGTAATTGTTTTTTCTCTCTCAACATGCTCAATTTAAAAAAAAAAAATACCCATTTCAAACGAAATTGGATGCATGATTGATATATATATATATACTATATATTTAAGAAATAATTAAGGTATCATTTTTAAACATCTATCGGGATATAGATATGGGTTGGTCACGAGATTAAATTCCATAAAGCCCGAAGGGCTTTATGATGAATTTAATCTTGTACCAACCCGTATTTATAGCACGATAGATGTTTTAAAATGATACCTTATTACTTATATTTACATTTGTGACTTATTCATACTTTATATTTGCCTGATTGTGACTTTTAGCGTGTGACATGCATTATTTTTCAAACTCAACGGCAAGTATGTAATCCATTGAACGCGCGTCGACCCTTTATGACGTCCCTGAGAAATGACGTCAAACGATTATCCATACGCACATCTATGACCTATTGACCCCGTACCTGTATTTATACAGTTATATTTACATTTGCAAATGTTTTCCCTTATATAACACTACTGAAAGGAATGCGTATCTATAACTGTATAAATACAGGTACGGGGTCAATAGGTCATAGATGTGCGTATGGATAATCGTTTGACGTCATTTCTCAGGGACGTCATAAAGGGTCGACGCGCGTTCAATGGATTACATACTTGCCGTTGAGTTTGAAAAATAATGCATGTCACACGCTAAAAGTCACAATCAGGCAAATATAAAGTATGAATAAGTCACAAATGTAAATATAAGTAATAAGGTATCATTTTAAAACATCTATCGTGCTATAAATACGGGTTGGTACAAGATTAAATTCATCATAAAGCCCTTCGGGCTTTATGGAATTTAATCTCGTGACCAACCCGTATCTATATCCCGATAGATGTTTAAAAATGATACCTTATTTCTTAAATAGATACGCATTCCTTTCAGTAGTGTTATATAAGGGAAAACATTTGCAAATGTAAATATATATATATACATTTTCTGGCTGATTTTGATTTGGAATGACAAGAGTCATGTAAGTGGAAATTCCCTAAAATATAACGAAGTTGTAATTTTCCTTTGGTGTTAGATCTATACGAGGCTTTTTGACACTCTAATATATAATTCTATACAAAATTTTGACAAATTTTTAACCTTATGACAAAATCTTTAAAAAAAATCACCCCCCCCCCATACCTGGTAATGATAATTATGATTACCTTAAACAACGGTAAATCTGTGATAAATATTGCTGATTTCTGATAATAAGTTAGTGTTATTCATCCTTAAAGGAATTTACTACTTTCATTACATTTAGTTGTGTATACAGAGACTTGTAAACATAAGCTATGGTCACAATAAACAAGCTAATTCTGAGACACCCCCCCCCCCATGGAAAAAGAGGATGATGCTCAGATCCCCTCTACCGTGGATTTGTAGAATTATCAAATTATGTACTGAAGCACATAAAAAATACCAATACATAACATATATCAATATAAGATTTGACTGCGTCATGCTTTAAATGTATATGAAGATTTCTTTTAATATAAAATATTAATATTTTGTACACGTCGTGCATAAAATTTTGACAACTGAGGATAGAACGTGAACGTGTGCAATACATGTATAAAATACCGGTATCACCGCAAAAGCTATATATATAACTCTATAGTTATGGGTTATAGGTTAAAGTTGACAACAGACAGAAAACAGCTAGACAAACAGACAGACAGACAGACAGGACAAAAAATAATATATCCTCGCGATCTTTCGATCTGGGGGCATAAAAATTATCCTTGTGTCATTCACAGCTGTAGCATATTCAAAATAAGTTTTACTAGTTGAACTTCTCTTTTTTTTTTAAATTTACCACATCATTATTATCAGGAAATCATGACGATTTCCTTTCATATATCTTACACACTCCCGGCTGGGAAGTGCCTATTGTAATTTCTTTTAACAAAAATTAATACTTTGTTTAAAGTTTTAAAAATATTTTACTCATGACTATATACATGTTACAATTAACTTTGAAAATTATTTTACTGAACTACTTGTAATAATAAAAAAATGAAAACTTCTCATATTCCTCCATGTGCACGTTCTACATGTAACACGGTCACAAATAGAGCGGCCAGTTATAAATTAAAATGTAAAATTTATTTTTTCCCTAATTAGGTGTCATTTATTTTCCATTCCAAAAAAAAAAAAATGCACTTTAAGTTTTGGAAGAGTTTAAGCGCCTGGTGCAGATATAAACTAACTTGCATTTACCATGCCCTAGCTACCGAGGTATTTAAAAACCCACTCGATCCAGGTAGCTGTTTTACTCACTTTTTTGCTTTAATTACTTGCATTTAATACCCACATACAGGGACGGCACATTTGATGGTAAGCATCATATCTCTTACTCATGTATTACAGTCAAACAGATGATGAATACGACAAAATTTTTGCTAGAAATTATGACTTATCAATTTTGTATACAAAGAAGTTTCATTTTCTTGTGACTAAGGATCAATACCAAGTCTAATGACTTACAAAGCTATGTCAGTTTAAATACTTATCTTCAAGCAGATTTAGATAAATTATCTTTGGGGTGACTTATTAATGCATTTCCTCTTCAATCTACACACTCAAAAAAGTTTTACAAATTAACTAACACCCTGAATTTTTTCATGCAAGTGTATTTAAGGTTCATCGATACCCTGATAAGAGAGATAACTCTATGTGTCATAAATGTCTATTAATTGAACAGTCAGATAATCGCTGACCTATAAGATTTTGCAATAGACATTGGATGGTTTTCATTAAATTTATTAAAGACTTGAGAAAGCATACATGTACAATCTTGTGTTATTCCTGTGATGGACAAAAGGTAAGCGTTAATAGGCTTGCATGTACAATATAATTATTACCGGTTTGTTGGTAACAGGTTTTGCTTCTAAAATACATTTCTTTTACAAGAGGTGAAAAGGTTGGATACTTTGTAGACATTTAACAAATAACTAGATTCAATTTTTTCATGCAATGTATTTAAGGTTTTATATGTGTCATAAATGTCTATTATTCTATTTCTTTTATAGATTTCTGAAATTGAAGTTTTTTTTGTCCAATTTTTCCCCGCAAGCTATGCTATAATTATTGTCTGTTTTTTACTTATAAAATACATTTCTTTTAGAAAACATTAAGATTCAAGCAATATTTTATATGAGTGAGGAGAGAACAGAGTTTATCCTTTATTATGGTGTCCTGATAGAACCATTTATAAAAGTGTAAAAGCGCGTTATGAACAACGCGCAAGCGCAAAGTGACAACCTGCTAGCACGTTTTTCATGCAGTCTGACTAAAGCTATCCTACGAACGAAGTGAAATAGTAGGAGCTAGCTTTAGTCAGACTGGTTTTTCATGACACACCGCCGTGCTAACACACAAAACGCCTAAGTTACTCTATCGCAACTTTACACAACAAGCCGTTGCGCTAGCGCATTTGTAATTTATCAGTTATGTAAGCGCGACGGTGTCATGTGCGCGACGGCGTGTTGTATATACAACGTGTTAGCGCGTTATCACATTAAGCTACGGCGTTGTCACTTGCAGAAATGCAACAAGTATACCTTATTAATGCGCATGCGTGTTGTAAACGAGAGAGAGCTAGAGAGAGAGAGAGAGAGAGAGAGAGAGAGAGAGAGAGAGTATAATCGGTTTAATCAGAGACATATAAGAGATATGTCTCTGGTCTAATTAAATGTTAGTCCGAAATATCTGACTTTTCCAGGCTTTTTTACGATTTAATATTTTACTTGCCAGGAAAACGTAAGAACCGGCGCGCCATTACGAAAACTGGGAATTTCACCGTCTCCGACCAGGGTTGATTTTAGATACTTGCGAACCAAACTAAATGACAAATCAGAATTTATCAATAGCACAATGTCTCTAGTACTCACCAATATCTATGGAAAGAAAAGATTACCCCACTTTTCGTTACAGACCTTGCAAGATTTTAAAATTCACAAAATGGAGACAAATCTCGACGGTCTAATAAAATGTTTTCAACAGATTGTATATTTTAAAAATGAACCATAAAACGACATTGCTAAGTACTAAATATATTGTACTACTACTGATAAATTGTGACTTTGAAATTTAATTCGGTTCTTGAGTACCTAAAATCAATTCGAGAATGCCGCCTCCGGTTGGAGGCGGCGATTTCCCATTTTACGTAAGGGCACCGGTTCTTACGTTTTCGTGACATGTATAATATCAAAATCCTATAAAAAAAAGCATGGAAAACGTCAGATATTTCGGACTTATTAAATGTGTGATGGTCTGTCCATTTTTTTAAGAAGACCAGTATATCTCTGCCAGTAATTCTCCTAACTACTGCTCTACTGGTCGGTTTTTGGCGATGTTTTGGTCACGTGATGACGGGAATCTCCCGCCTAGGGAACCTGGACGTCTGCTCGTGGGAAACGTAGACATCAAACCAGAAGCTCCTATATTCCTGTAAGTTATTTAAAGAAGAAGGTATGGTTTTAGCCTTATTGCGCCCTAAAAATGTAATGACATCAAAAAGTTTTGAAACTGGCTTAACTATTAGTTAAATAAATGACTCTGAGAAATCAGGAAAGAATATGGCAGGCAGGTTTATTGCTCTGCAAATATGACGTCATTAATGTGAAGCATTTCTCTATTTTCAACAGAAAAAGCCTCAAAATGGCACATTTCAAGGGTGATTTTTCTGTTAAAAACAGTGTCCACAGCCGTCGCCCACGTTAATTTTTTGATATTTTGTGCAAAATTCAATAACAAATCACATATCTCAAGATCTTTGTGGGCGATGCCTGTGGACAGTGTTATCTGAAAGAAAATTCCGTTGAAAATTGGTGTCTTCTGCAACTTTTTAAGAAAATACGGGAAAATGCACATGTTTATGACGTCATAATTATCATTTAAAAACACATGTGAGAAAAATGACTTGTATGATTTTTCTGAATTGAATTTCAATTATTTAAAAAGCATGAGTTTTCAACTTTACACCAGTTTCATTTTAAAGAAAATAACAGGGCAAAGTTTGTATGGAAACCATACCTTCTTCTTTCCTATTTGAAAATATGAAATTATGCAATGTTTATGAAGCTGGAAAACGAATTTTATTAGAACAATTTACAAAAGATTTAATCTTTACAATTGGAAAAGAAATGAAGGAATCTTTACAATATTAATTAGATAAAGAATGTTATTAAAATAATTTACAAATGAATAAATCTCTGCAATTGCCATGTAAAAATGATCGGAAACGTGAGGGAAAAGCATGGATAAACATGATAAACTGAAACATAAGAAAATATTGCTAAGCTTGTACTGTTAAACACACATTTCCTTACAGCGACCTACAGAAGAAACATGGCGATCTGATAACACTGAAGGTCTTTGGTCAGACTATCATTGTCGTCTGTGGTTATGACACAATCAAAG